ATATCAGGATCAACATCAGGCCTACAATGGATTCCTGCTGGACAAGTTTAAAGAACACTCTCAGTGTGACAGTGTGTTCAGTGTACTGTACATAGAAGGGGAGTTCTGCGTTGGGTTTTAATGAGCTGGCTGCAGAATACTGACATAGTAACTTCCACATCTAACCTATTGTATATCCAAAAGGGCCTCTTTAAGTGATGAATGAAATAGTTCTTTCCTGTAAGTAAAGCATTGTTAAAAGCTTTTTATGTTCTAAAGCAGGGGTTCGGGGTGCCCTATTCTGATCCTGGAGGCCCTCAGCTTCTGATTTTGTTCCCAGCGCAACTCTGTTACACAATAGAATCTTTAATTGAATTTAATAACAGGATTCATTTGAGTTATCTGATTGTGTTCAGCTCTTAAATACATTTAGAATTGCCTTCTAACTCTTGCATTTCATAAGTAACCATACAGGTTTGGACAGATTTGATTTAGTAACAAGATTTTGGAGCCAGAAAAGGTTTGCACATGTTCCAATCAAGCAACTTGTTAGTTCAGTTAAGGCTTCAATTAAGAACTAGGTTCCAGGACTAGGACTGGGAAGCCCTGTTCTAAAGAACTGAAACTTGATTTTGCTATGCTTTGTTTTCTGTGATGCCACGACAGGAAGTTACCCGTTGATGCAACACATAATTATTCCAGACCATTCTTCCATTATGACCCCTTTGTCCATCAGTTCTAGAAATGTGGCTGTTTGTGATTGCATCTGCTCTTTGCTAACAGTTTCACACTGCGCCCAAGTCTGTGTGCCTTTTCGTGTCAACCCCCTGTGCACTGACCCTTGCTAGCTGGGTGGGGGACTTGAGAGTGAGGCTTGGGTTCCCAGCTCAGCTTTGATTAAACCAACTTATCACAAGGAGCATCGCCCTGTGGAAGAGGTCGTGCTCCAGTGGGACCAGCAAAGCGTCTCTTTCTCATTGCTCATCTCCCCCTTCTCTAATTAACACTCACTCTTGCTCCATGAAGCCGTTGCAGTTAGGCAACCATGCAGAATGGCGGATCAGATTGGTCAGATGGAGGCATGTGGAAATGTCTGGGTGCGGAAATGAGATTTTATTCTCTAAATGGTGTGCTGAAAGCTCCTGTATTGCAGGGGCACCGATGGGGGGGGGTGAGAGAGAGGGAACGAGAAAAGAAAAACAGAATCGTGGTGGGTCTCATGCCAGGCTGGGCACAATGTTGTCCTTGTGTGTTTGGTTGTTTGATTCCCTGTGCCTTTCTGCTGCCAGGGGATGATGGACACATGCCAGGAAGTAACAGAGTCTGCTTGCCTGGGCACTGCATCGAATGGGCACTTCCACAGAGAGCCCTGCTTGCATCCTACAGCATTATACAGTCTGAAGGCTTCAGGCTGCTTGATGGGTTTTTAATCATAAAAGCAGCCTTTTAAAGCAAGCCAGGAGGACATCATTCTAACGTGCCAGAAATGTTGCATCAGGAGGTTTTTTTTTCTGTATGGAGTTGCTGTTCTTCGCCTCTGCCCCTCCCCCCACCCCCTCTTTTCCAGGACAGAAGAACTCAAGCAGAATAGATGCAAAGCAATAATAGGGATTGCACTGGATTGCACTCTCTCTCACGGGTTTTCTCATCATTGGTGCAAAGCCTCCCCTGTTTTATCGCCCCATAGTTCTGGATTCTTCTGAATTAATGCCCTGGCTTTTGCGATCAACCCTTTGATCTGGAGTCATGTACAGCCGGTAACAGCTATTCGTAAGAAGCACCTGAGGGGAGATATCAAAGAACATGGATTAATGTAACTGCTGCTTTTCTCTGCACTGAAAGACAGGGCAGTCTCACTTTAAAGGACATACAGATTGCCTCAACAGAAGTGCACTAGTTTTTCGGTGTATGTTTTTATTCTACAGTCTCTTTATCAGGTCAATGTGTTCCTGGTATTGCCTTTATACTGGACACTGCAGTGTTGCCCTATTAAATGGCACTGCTACATATGCAAAATATCTTGCAAAATAATCAGAACATTAACATTTACCTTTAAATTCTGTTAACTCTTCTTTGTGACACTTTAGTGTATGTTTTACCTCTAGATTATGCAGGCCTTATTGTATCAGTATAAAATGAGTATGAGTAGTATGTTTTACACGTACCTCTGTGAGACAGCAGCCGATGACAGATACAGTATGCTTCTGCCCCCTGCTATTGACATATTTCCAGTCTGAAGCCCCTGGATGGTTTGACTCAGCAGAATCCAGTAATTCCGTTCTTTTCAGACCAGATAAGATATATATACAGACCCATTATCAAGTGATTTTTTTTCCAACTACATCATTTTTAAGAGGGATTGTAAATTGCTGATTTATTTTCAATTGTGATGCAACACGAAACACAGTGGAAAAGAAAGGTTTTTTTTTCTTAACTGCATTGAGTCAATGTAGATTAACCAATTGTACCGAATATATCAGTTTGAATATATCAAAGTGTACTGAATATATCAGTTTACAGAATATAACAGAATGCGAAAAGACAAATTCCTAATGCAAGAAATTGTATATGGCTAATAAAGTGATCTTATCTTATCTTATATACAGACTATTTCCGTGATAATAAACAGAAATTGTTTGGACTGCTTAAGTCCTTGTGTGGAACAATGGATAAACCTAATTATTAGTCATGCCTATTTTTGTCTCACACAATTGATAGTCAGCCATGTCGCTTTCAGAATCTGAGTGAAATTCCAAGTAGATTGTCTAGGAATTCTCAGGTGCTGGAATGTGTACCCCTGTTAGAAGTAATGTAAGCCTGTTGAGTCGGGCATTATCGGCCTCCTTATAATCAAAAGTTTAAATATTAACCGGGTTTGACTTTGATCGTTGCGTATTGAGGTCAGATGGTGCAGGCATTTAAATCCTGCCCGTCTGCAGTTGATTAAAGGGCTTTTTTGTGTACAGTTGCCACTGTTACTGTAATAACATAGGATTATAATACATTTGTGTGGGTGTGTGCGAGGAAAGGAACGGAAAGCTTAGACACATATAGAGAAGAGTATAGCAGGGGTTCCAAGGAAATAAAGTTGTAAAAAAAAGTATGCAGAAAGTACTTTGAATAGTTCAGTGCTTTTACATTTTCCAATAAAATTCATTTCCATATGAGAGAACCAGTATAAATGTTTACTGCAGTGTATTGCTATAAGAGCGCATTAAATGTCCAGTAAAATACAGGGGTAAAATCAAGGTAAAGCTCAGAGAGATGTGCCAGAGTGTGAGACAGCCATGGAAAACAGACTGCATCTATTGTACAAACATGGTAAAAGTGGAATTATACCATGTGGTTTACCATGGTACATGTTTGGAAGGCATTTTACAGTGTTTTTTGTTACTATATTGCAGAGCGTCAAGTTAGTTTTGAGTTTTCCTTTTATAATTAACATTCGCATGCATTTTCTTAGTGGCTTTATACACTCTTAAGTGTCTTATGTTAAGGTCATGCTGATTAGTGGACCCCAGGAGACTGAAACTGCTTAGATCTCTCAGTCGTTGCCTCACCAGGAAGTGTTCCAGCTTGTTGCCCCAAGGGAAGGCTGAAACAAGAGTAACATTGCCTGCCCCCTCTGAAAATCAAGCGTGTGACGGCGCTCTGAATGTAGGGCTCTCTCCTTGTTCACCTGCAGTAGCGTTAACCCTGAACGCGTGGCCTGACTTTGTTGCAGGTGGTGTCGCAAACGGTCAGTCTGGTAGACCTGTCCTGCTACAGCCTGGAGGAAGTTCCAGTGTACCTCTTTTACAGCCAAGACATCACGCACTTCAACCTGCGCCACAACTTCCTGAGGCTAGAGGGTCCTGGGGGCCTTCACAGTCTCAACAGGTAAGAGCTGTTGTCCCCCCCTCAGTGGTGGCTTTTAATATCCTGTGTGTCAGGATATTCTGATCGGATTTTTGTTGTAAAAAGCTAGCAATCATGGTTGAAGACTACAAGACTGTTCTGTAAGTCAAAATAGTTATGCTTTGTTAGATGACACAACGGTGTTGGCGGAAGAAATGTGGTGATTTTGCGTGAGTGCTGACAGGGTTAAGGAAAAGGGGGAAGATGTTCCTTAAAGGGGAGGAGAGTGCCTCTGTGCTCTGGGAAACCTGGAAGAAAGGGAGGGTGTTTACACATCATTGCGCCACTGCCAGCCTCATCCGTATATTTAGTAACGCTCCGTCACGTTCTCGGCAGAGCAGGGAATCCAGGAGAGGGGCTTGAAAGAGGGAGAGGGAAGCAGGCTGATGAGATCCAGTGTGTGCCAAAGCAGACAGCCACCTCTGACCCTCTTGAACATGAGACAGAATGATATGGATTCACTGACTGCATTGTAGTGAGCAAAGTGCACCTGCAACATAATTGCATGTCAATTGCATGTCAATTTTTATTCTGTAGACGTTTGCTTATTTTCATTACTTGATAATTTATCGACTCCCAGTAAACAGTTTACAGTGCAACTAAATATAAACCCAGGACCTTGCTTCCTAATTGGAAATGAGCATGGTGAATAGATTTAAATCACATTTATTAGCCAAGATTTGCTAGAATTACTTATATCAGATTCCCTTTATTTATCTCTATATATTTTTGTATTATGATCTAGTTATATTATAACTGTCCTAATGCACTACTTATTACATAATTTTAATGACTCGAGTGAAATGGGGAATTACTGATGCGCAGTGGTTGGCATTGCTCCCTCGCAGTGTTGGGCCCTTCGTTCAATTCCTGTTTTTTTTGCTATTTGTGTCTTCTCCCCAAGTCTTTGTTGGTTTTTGCTGGATGCTCTGGTTTTCCCCAAAGGTCAAAGGTTAATTGGGCTTTGGGAAAACTGGCCCTGGTGCGAGTGCACGTGTCTCTTTGTGTCCTGCGGTGGACTGGGGGGACGTTCCGTCCAGGGTATGCCCTGTCAGGCTGGGATAGGGCTCCAGCTCCACCCTGTATTAGATAAAGCAGTGAGACAATGGATGGATTTCTTTTGAGACTTATGTGATGAAAATTGTCCTGGAAGCTGAACCAGGCTTTATTAACTTATCCAGAAAGATAGGAAAGTTAGAAAAAAATACTTTATTGTATTTGTGTGATTATTTATACCATTTAATTGTTTTTATTATTCAGCCTTTTAACTCTAAATCACGTTGTTTCACTGCAGTGAAGTATCCTGGGTAAAAGTTTTTATAATTTTTACTTACTTTAAAGGATAGTTCTTATTTCTTAATATACTGTATATGTTTCTATGTACGTTACAATTATGTCTCTGTTTCACTACTTTCTATTCTATCGACTACTTATACTGAAGTGTCCAGGGACAAACATGAACATTGTTAGACAAGGCTGACAAGCCTCTCAGTAAATTACTGTACATTCAGGTTCAGGTAATTAGAATTATTGTTCCTGTGAGGAAGGAAGCTTGGACAAGACTAACTTCAACTATGTGAGCTTTCAGAACTTTACATGTGTGACCTAGGTCATTATTTTGCAACCTGTTTTGGTTAGATAATCTTAGTCATTCATCCATGATGGAAATACATTTCTCTGTGGAAACATCAAGAGCTCAAAGTAATGAGAAGACAAAAGCAATCTGAGGGAATATGAGAGGATTCATTTGCATTTGGAATTACAAAAGGAATGAAAACGTAAAAATGTTCTTTGTATACTGATGTACAATGAAAAATGCTGAAAATGATGAAAAATTGCTGAACGTGGACATTTACATTGTTGTACATTGTTCTTAACATTTAAAATCGATGGCATTTATTGTTTGAGTAGTATTTTTCCTTAGGATAACATAATACTGAGCTCAAGTCATGCTATTTCATAAAACCCCTAGGTGCTCAGCATTTGGTATTTGAGTTGTGTTAATATTGCCAAAATAAGCTGATTAAGAATCTGTGTAAATTCTCACGTTTCAGACTGAAAATCTGTCATGATCGTGGATTTGTAGCTTTTGTTATTGCTGTATTCAAAGGCACTGGCTCTGTGGGTGCTTGAGCCCTGATACACAGGAGGGGGGGGGTGCTGGGTGCCCACTGGAGAATGTGCTGGACACGCTGTGTGACTCAGTAAAGGCGTTTGTCCTGTGACCCAGGCATTGTGGGTTCGAGCCCGGGTCATGTCACTAGCGGACTGCGACCAGGATTCCCAGAGAGGTGGCGGACAGTTGGCTGGGTTCTGCCGAGGGTGGTGGTGGGGTGTTAGTCATCCGTGGCCCTTGGCAAACAAGGCAACCCTTGGGCCCTCTGAGGCGCTGGCAGGTTTGCGCTGCTATAGGCAAGAGCCGTAACGCTTCTCCGATGGGTGCTGAAGCTCAAAACTGGAGATTTCAAAATTGGATCGGTACAACAAAATCAAAAATGAGCCTAAACTTTTTTGGGGAAAAATTCTGTATGAGTAAACATTCAGGGACTCATGATTCAGAAAATCCTTTAACTAACACAAGAACAGCGAAGGATATGATTATGCTGTGTTTGATGGCTGAAGATCTCCTGGCGGCTTTTAGCGACCAGTCATTGAAAGGAGTGTGTCTGTGAGAGGAGTTGCCGAGAGATTGAGATGTTCTGCTTCAGCAGTCAGGACCATCACATCCATCTGCCCCATCAATCGCAGACCGCAGTGGCTACAGCTGAAGGGTTAGAAAGAAATGACCTTCAGCAGACTGACTGTAGCTTGCCGTGATCTGCATGTGTAACAGCCAGCCGGCTGCGTCTGCACAGGAAGAGCTGTGGGTCGTCCCACAGCAGTCAGTCCAGGGCTGATCAGGCCTGTGTGTCAGAGCCCCTAGGATTGTGTTCGTAACTCTGGGAGTAATAGCCCAAGTGAACCTGATAGAGTTTTTTTTTTTTTGACAGTGTGTTACATTCCGTACTGAAAACTCGGCATGATTCTGGAATTTTGTATGGCTATGTTCATAGACACTGACTCTGTGGGAGCTTGGGCCCTGAAATATACCGGGGGAAGAGGGAAGGGGAGCTTAGATTCTTCCAGGAAATACATTGGATGCTGAGCACTCTCGCGATCTCATGTGAAGTTCTACGGACGTGTTGTTTATGTGCCTTCAGTACAATTCAGATCTTATGGTATACACCCATGTCAGTTATCCTGTACCACTATCATGCCCTGACCCTGTAGTTTATTCTGTATAGAATACCCCCCTTTAACCCCCTAGCTCCCAGCTGGAACCATGTCACACTGAACAGTTTTGTAGCATTAAAGATAAATAATAATAAGGAGAAGACTTTTTTGAGTACAGACGTTGTTAGAAGTGCCTTACCCAACAGAAGGACACTGTAAATGGTAAAGAAGAAAGAGAGAAAAAATACAATTAAAAAGGCTTTCAGTGATCATTTAGGATACATACATATTCTTCTTTCTTACTGTTAAAAACTTCAAAACAAGCATACCCAAGTATCAGTATAAATTGATGCACAAAAAATACATATTTTCCATTCTATATTTTATTAACCTGAAGTTCTGCATTGGAAAAAAAACAGGATGATAAGGAAAGATTTCAATTCGCTTGAAATACCCAACATAACTGAAAGATGCAATTGGGCTGTAAGTGTTTGAATGGGATGGGGCGTTCATGACAGTTCTGATTACACAGCAGGTGAGCTGTGATTGGTGCGAGATATTAAATACCAGTTTTGTTGTTGTCTAGGTTTTCACAGTTAAAGAGCTTAAACATCTCTCACAACCGACTGGGCTTCTTCCCAGAGAGCATATGTGAGATCCTAACACTGACGGAGCTCAACCTGTCCTGCAATGGTATTCATTCAGTCCCGGTCCAGATAGGCAACCTGCAGGGGTAAGTAAGACATCTACTACTTTTAGAGTAAGCTCTTAGTTTTTGATAACATTAATTGGAATCTAGGGACAAATTTCCTTTTAACAGGCTGAATATGCTTTTCACTTTTTTGTCTGATACAATACTTTTTAGCTACAAAACTGTACTTGACACGTGTTCCTGCCCCTTTCAGTGCTGAACGAAGGGTTTATTCCTACTTTTTTCATATTAAGGTTCAGTTAATTAAAACCCTAATTGTTACATAATTGCATCCAATTTATACCTCTTATTTGTTTTAATGTTTGTGACACTCAACACTGGCAGTTCTACTTATGATGAGCGTTCATGATGTATGGATATTTCGATAGCCAAGCCCGTTTACTCTTAAGGACAGATTTAAGGGCTTTGAAAAGAGTGAGAGGGATTAGAGAAAAATACGTCTGTGCAGTGGATGAGAAATTCAGCCTTTCTTTTTGCTCAGTCTGCAGACACTGGCTTTGGATGGGAATTATTTGAGCTCTCTGCCGGAAGAGCTGGGTGGGCTGTCACAGCTCTGTAGCCTGGGGCTTTCCTTCAATGACTTCTGCCAGATCCCTGCTGTGCTGGAGAAGCTGAGTGGTATTGACAGGCTGGCCATGGCCGGCAACCAAGTGGAGTTACTGGACCTGGGGACCCTCGGCAGAATGAGCCACCTCAAGCACATTGACCTGCGGTGAGGGAGACCTGACACGCCTTCTCCCAGTGGATTCTGGGAAAATACAGCGTCTTGTGCCGGAGGGAGTTTAACATTCTAAAGCTGCGTCACACAACAGGACTCGACTTCTAGTCAGAGAGCATGTCAAATTTAATGACTGCAGTTCCTGAATCTCGCTACCTTTTCTGTCCTAGAGGTGTCAAATTATACGACTGGGAATTGCAGGGGGTGACTAATTGCACGATTCCCTCACGACTGTTCACTACAGTTTCAAATCTCGTGCTCTTGACAGCTCGCTGTGTTTTTCTTACGATATGTAAATGAAGGGTTCAACTGAAAATCCTAGGAAAAGTTGTGTAGTGTGACGCCGGCATAAGTTATAACTGGATCTGACAGGAACTTAAATGATGGAGAGCAAAAATCTTAAGAGCCGAGATACAGAGCTCATCCAAGAATTATTTCATTTTGATGATGTATCATTAAATGTACAGAAAATGTATTTTTTGTAATAATGCTGAGTCACACGCTGGCCTTGCCATTATTGCTTCAGACTTGGGTACTGCATTCCTTTCTAGGCTGTATTCCGTGTGGACATTGCATGTTCTGTCTGTGTTTGTGTGGGTTTCCTCTGGTTTCTTTCACGTCCCAGAGACTTGCTGGCAGAGTTTGAACTTCTGAGATGAGCTCTGGGTTGCAGCAACCATCACCAGGAAAAGCAGCTGTGTGATTTTTGTAAACAGTGACAAAATACTTATGATCAGTGTGGTATCAGGTTGGTTAAGGAAGCATTTTGTCAAAAATGTAGAAAAGTGCATCATCGTTATCTTTGAGTTAATGACAGAAGCAATTAAAGATTGCCTCGAAAGTCATGTAGCACATTCACATTCCTCCTCCCATCTCAGGTGTGGTGAGTTGTATGGTGCAAAGCTGTATAAAGCAGTAAGCACAGTGGCTCATCATAGCTTTCCCCATCAGGCTGAATGGGCTGCACTTGGTGGTGAGTGAGGGGCTGGAGGCACTGAAGCAGGTCACACATATGGACCTTCGGGACAACTGTCTCTCTGAGCTGGACCTCAGCTCTGCTGGATGCCTGGAGATGCTGCAGTGCCAGAGGAACCGCCTGGGGGTGCTCACGCTCAGTGGCTTCACCCTGCGATCACTCTACGCTAGCGCCAACTGTAAGTCACTGCTTGTGCCAGATTAGCTGAAGAGTGACGTCGGAAAAAGTATTTATCAAAAAAAGTATATTTATTGAATTCATCCACTTTGTTCTGGTGGATCTAATTTAACAGCTGTGTGATTTATCCCATGCAGGCCTGACCGCTGTGAATATTTACCCAGTTCCAAATCAACTGACGCATCTTGATCTCTCTCAGTGAGTGCCTGTTTTTGATTATTTTTATAGGTCTTCTATGGATTCTCAATTCTCAGTTCACGCCATTGGGCACAAGAGTCGGGGGCCATATGTTTGTATATCTTCCAGAAAACTGTGTAGGCAGTGTAGATGAAATCCTGTCCTCAAGAGCTAGTCTCAAGCAGGTGTGGAATGCATCAATGTTGAAATAGCAGGCAAAATGTTCAATAACATCCAAAAGTTTTCTGATGTAAGTTCTCAGATCATTATAGAGAAAGTTTTTTCTGGACTCAGTTTGCAAGTGGTGGCATGGTATTTTTATCTATAAAGAGTATTTAAGTTTTGCATGGCCCTTTCTCAGCCAAAATGTCTAAAAGCCTTTTACTGTGTGCAGGAACCTGCTAGAGTACTTGCCTGACTGGGTGTGCGATACCAGGAAAATAGAGGTGTTGGATGTCAGCTATAACCTGCTCTCTGAATTGCCTTCCAGGTGAGTGTTCCTCTCTTCTCCGTTTGTCAGAGTGGCTGTGTTAAATCTGTTTATTTTTTTGGTCCAAACAAAGTTCATTTACAAGTGTGTGGACAACTATGACTTGATGAAGAGACCCAAGACATTTAAGCAAATACACAGAAGTACACTAATTCAAAGAATGGGTATCGGTAGACTTTAAGGCAGCTTTTCAGTTCTGTCCCATCAGTGTTGATTACATATATGTATTTGCTGAAAAGAATCTGTAGAGTGTTAAAGAAACCTTCAGAAAGAAAATGTATAACTAAATCTAAATACACAAGTAACATTCTCACGGGAGATAACCTATTGTAGTGGACCATTATGCTCATTGGTTGACTTTCTTCTACCTTAGCATCTAACAGTTTTATATTATCAAAGAAAGCATTTTTTCAAATGTTACCGTACTATATTTTTAGCATTCTACCGGTAATTTATCAAGTTCTGTTTGATGAGTCAGCCTTATTCGGGAAACGAATGAAGCAATGTCAGCATGAAAAGAACAGAAATAACTGCAAACAGCAGTTCATCTGCAAGACGAACAAAGATTTCCTCTTCCCAGCCAAAATGAAGGCACTTGCTGAACTTGCTGGCCTTATATCCCATTTGTGTAATGATCAACAGCATTACCGTAAAGAGTAATCTGTGCATTTTGCTAGATGCAGACATTCCATGAATTTGTTTATATTTTGTTTCATATGACGTTTCTGAAATTCTTGTTCCCACAGAATTAGCTGCAAGTCCAGTTATTCAATCCAGTTAATTGATTTGAGTAAATTGCGTGCCGGTTCATGTATGTTTGTACGTATGCTGGTGTGGACAATGGAACATAGAGTTTGGCTTTAGTAACACTTCCTTAATGAAACACAGCTTCATGAAAGAACAGTTATGCAGTGGGATGTCTTGGGCTTTCTTCCTCCTGCTAGGCTTCTCAGCAGCCTGAGCCTGAGGAAGCTGCTGGCAGGCAACAATCGGCTAAACATCCTGCCTGACCTCCTTGACCACATCCCTCTGGAAGCCCTCGACCTCCAGCACAACAAGCTGGGCGAGCTCCCAGAAAGCCTCTTCTACAAGGCCTTAAAGTAGGTCACCCTCTTCCCCTGACAGGTGTTTAGATCACCACCACCAGGGCTCCCTGGAGTTGTGTCTGGATGTTCGGATTTAAGAGTCCCGTTTTAACTCCTTCAAGGAACTTGGCTTTGTTTTAACAAAAGTAACATTTTTAGGCCGAGGGAGTGCTAAACAAGTACAGTCATATTTTAGATCTTGAAGTTCAGTGTCATTATCATTATTGTTTTCAGTGCTGTAAAATGATGCTACACATCATGGTCTAATTGTCCACCTCCTAAGAATACTCTCCATATCCTACCTAATAAATCACAATCTGTCATGAAGCACTTGTGCTTCTGATGTAGAGCACTTAACAGTTGGTCTGTTACAGCAACTAATTATCTTGCTGTAAAATGTATTTCCGCTACGAAGCTCTTTTTACAATAAGTGTTTTTGAATGGCTGTTACTAGTTGATTTATATGCATTGATGCTTCACTTCTGTACCTTGAGACAGTAGCTGTTTTTATGAGAGGTCTCTTCCTCCTTAGCCTGAGGTACCTGAATGTATCAGCCAACTCCCTGGAGACTATTCCCCCCAGCAGCCAGTCAGAGGAGAGCCTCAGCACCCTCCAGGAGCTCTTCCTCACAGGAAATAACCTGACTGAGCACTGCGCCGCCCTGCTGGTTGGACACCAGAATCTTCGAGTGTTGCACATTGCTTACAACCAGCTACAGTCCTTTCCAGCCAGGTAGGGAGCAGGAGTAACTGTGCTTTTGCCAAAGTCATAGTCAGTTTCACCTTAGGCTGGCTAAAAAGGTAGATTATTTTTTACAAGTCTCCAATAATTAAAGGTTTTTACAGGGTCTGATAAATCTCTGTAATGGACATGTACTCTTGTAAGTATAACCCCATGCTGCAAAATGTTAGAGGTGTAAAGCTCAGACCGCTGATGATTTTGAACTATATGCAGTCTCTGTGACAAGGTTAAATATGATTTTACTGTTTTTCTAATATTAAGGTGAGAGCTGTTTAAATTAACTGACAGGGAGAGAGAAAACTAGCAAAAGCTTAAAACATTATTTCTTTCCCTAGTTAAAAGAAAATGGAATGCTTGCACATTATAGGCCTGACAACCACTTGATCGCAAGCACATCCTCTGGTTTCAGTATTAGAGACCAGCAAAATCATATTTAACATGGTCAATCTGTGTGTGAATGTGCAAGTGAGTCTTCTGCGTGCCTGTGTTTTAGCAAGCTGACAAAGTTAGAGCTGCTTGAGGAGCTGAACCTGAGTGGCAACAAGCTCAAGAGCATTCCCTCCACTGTGTCTGGCTGTAAGAGACTCCACACTCTGGCTGCACACTCCAACCACATCAGTGTCTTCCCAGAGATCCTCCACCTGCCCGAGATCAAGGTCAGACTCTCTCGCTTTGTTTTATCGCTGTGTGATTGTTTGGTCCTGATGTTTTATATTGAATAACTTTCCTTTCTGTGGACACTGATAGGGACAATTGCATAGTAGTTACACTTGTTTTACGCCTTAGTTATATAGTTTACATGCAGCTATGTATTTTGTAGGACATGATTGTTTTGATGGTTGTTCTCAAAAACCCACTTAGGAAACTTTCAGGACTGTTCAGGGTCGCCCAGATATGAAGATCTGCCTCTCACATTCAGGCTAGGATGCTTTTTTACAAGACCTTGGGCCTGAAATGGACTACTAAATTGAAGGCTTTACCTAGAACTACCTCTGTTTTCCACAAACCCTCACATAGTACCCAATAACATACTGGTTTCTACCCCACAGGACAGCAGATCTGATTAAAATTAAATTAAGGAGCTCCAAAGTGTCTCTGAAATGCAAAGGTCTTGGAGGTTTGGTAGCCCCAGATCATTGTTCTCGTTTTCTGGGACACTCAGAGGCAACCTGGGGACAGCACCACTTGAGTTTAGATACAGAGCAAACCAGATTTAGTGAACTCTGTCTCAGAGGTTGATGTGCTTCCGATAATACATTATTGTACTGATAACATTGTCAGTAATGTAAGAATATCTGTAACTTTAAAGGCATGGAAGGAAAGGAAATCTTAAAACATGAAGTTTTGCTCTGCAGGTTCTCCTCAATTTGATGTAACCCTGAAGGTATAATGAATAATAAACAATTATCCAGTTATAGAACTTAGAAGGCATTCCCCATCTGATTATATGAATGCAGTGTGTGTACATATATAAATGCACCCATCCTTCTGTTTTAAGTGGGATTAAAATTGGAATAAAAGCCATTTGTGCCAGTTCTCATCTGTTGCATTTTTGTGTTCTGCTTTTGAAAATGATTCACTGTTATCCTTTGAGACTTTGAGCATTGTGATTTCCCTGGTCATTTTTTTTAACCTGCAGTTAAGTATTCCTTTACAGACATTCCTTTCTGCCTCCCTGGAATAATGTCTTTTCTGTTCCCACAGTACAATGGGAAAATAGTCTTATCTGTTTAGACAATTACCTGGAGTTGTTAAACAATTAAAATTCAGTTGTTAAAGTAGAAAGTATTGCACAGACTACATTTTCTCAATTTTAAACAAATTGGATGTGGTGTGATTTAGTGTCAAATGGATGCACACACTGTACAGGTAGTGTTCCTGATAATTATATTCATGTTCTCTCATAGACGCATGCCCTTGGATATGCCCTGTCCTCCAGTTCAGCAGTTTTTGACAATCACAGAGAGATTCAGGCTTAACTTGGGATGCAACATCCCACTCACTTCATCTCTCTACTTAATTAGGGATCTTCCAGTTCTAGATAGCTCTGCCAGAGACCCAAACTCCTACTCCTCTTATTGCGCATGCAAAAATACTATTAAAATGGAAAGACAGAAGGGCGGTACAGTGGCGCAGTGGTTATCATTGCTGCCTTGCAGTGCAGGGGCCCTGGGTTCAATTCTGGTCCTGGGGTGCTCTCTGGAGTTTGTATGTTCTCCCCTTGTCCGTGTGGGTTTCCTCTGGGTGCTCTGGTTTCCACCCCCCAGTCCTAAGACGTACTGGAAGGATAATGGGCTTCTGGGAATATTGGCCCTGGTGTGAGTGTGTGTGTCTGTGTATGTGTGTGCTCTGCAATGGACTGCATCCCATCCAGGGTGTATCCTGCCTTGTGCCTTAAAGTGTTCTTAATATCACAGAGGAAGAACTTGATGCTTTAGGAAGAGTTAACCACCTCTCTCCAGACCAATACTCAAATCTTTAAGGAAACCTGAAACCCTTTCCTAGCCGTATTTTCGATTGAAGCAAAGAGCTGATGTCTTTATCACTAGTTTGGAAATGGAAATATTTGCATGTCCTTGCTGTCCCAAAGTCACCAAAGTCCGTAGAAATCTTTAAAAATCTTTCTCTGTCAGTGAAGGTCCAACCCTGCATTGTTGTGTTTTTGCTTCCCTGTGCACAGCTGGTTGATCTGAGCTGTAATGAGCTGACGGAGATCCTGCTGCCTGATTCACTGCCAGCCAGCCTGCAGGAGCTGGACTTGACGGGAAATACCAACCTCATCCTGGAGCACAAGACCCTCAATATCTTCAGGTGGGAGCCCCCCTAATGAGCACCCTACTCTCTGACAGCTCAGCTGGTTGTCCCACACTGCTCTGCCTTTGTTTGAAAAATCCAGGAGCTCTTGACCTGAAGCCATTCTATTCTCTTCGTTTTTCATGTGGTGTTTTTAGAATCCCCTGCCATTATTCAACTACCCATTTTGGAATTATATCCAATTTTCTTCTTAATTATCCATGTAAAAGTGGATTTTAGTGCAGATTTTATAGCCATGAGCCGAGACATGAGAAACGTACAACTGGTGATACCTTCCAAAACAGTGAGGTGATGACAAAAACAATTGATAGCTGATTCTACATTTTTCACAAAAACGCCTTGTACAGTAGCTAGGGGAAACACCTGTCCCAAACTGAGATGCCACCTTTTTTCTTCTTCCATAATGCTGTATTTGAATGCATGTGCCGACAGCGCCCCCTGTGGTTCACACTGCTTCTCTCCCTCGGTTTTAGCCACATTGCCACACTGAAGCTGGATCAGAAGCCAGCCATGACTGCAGGAGACTCCCTTGGCTCTTCAACGCTGTGGAATCATGGGTATTCCGAAATGACAGGCCAGAGAAATAAGTAAGGACAAGGGTTGGGAGAAGAGGGGTGAGGCTGAAACTCACTTTCTGAAGGAACACTTTTGCTGTAGCAAACACAAGATCTGAAGTGTCTTCTAAAAATATTGTGAGGGCTGGGAGGAGGTGCCATACAGGATGTTTTTTCTTGGTTAAAATTCAGCTTCTAGACTGTTTTCAGTTTTAGTCAGACTCCATTAAAAATGTATTGTTTGCTATAGGAAAATAGTGCAAATGTTATTTTGTCTTAAAGATACCACAAGTCAACACACAGCTCAGTGGAATCCTTCTTTTTTATTTTAGAGAGATTTCGACATGTTACCTTGAATAACAAGGAACATCTGCACTCCCTGACATAAATGTCCTTCTTGTTAAAAAGTGTCCACTTCTTGAACCTTGGTTCTCTGAAGTTGTGAGTTTGAGAGCTATTCTAAGCCCACTTTATTTTGGTGACTGTGTGGCAGGCTGTGCGTCTCAGTGCTTGCAGTCGATCGATTTGGAGACAGTGTGGAAGCAGCCTATGGGATCTTCGATGGCGACCGAAATGAGGAAGTGCCTCGTCTGCTGCAGTGCACTATGGGAGACGTGTTGGCTGAAGAGATCCAGCACTCCAGCGTGGACACAGTGTACATGAGCAACACCTTTCTCACCTCACACCGGTACAGCATCCCCCTCTGCCCATAAACAGGAAGTGCAGCTATGTGTTCAGAATGCTTGAGCCATAATACAGTGTGTATGGTTTAGGGCAGGGGTCGGCAAACATTTTAGAGCAAGGGCCACTTAAAATCTTTTATCAACCTTGCTGGGCCATCTGAGTGAAATCCACAAGGAGCCATCAGGTAGATTTGTGTGCTTGCTTCTCAGCAACTAAACGGTCAATATCCGGGCTTAATCTGGACACAGCAATGCGTAAACAAGCATGGAGATGATCATCAGAGAGCCTGGATCTGATTCTTGACTTTTGTATTCTTTATCCACGAGAATGGCTTTTCACATATGTATGTGCTGCCATACATGATGATAAAGCCACATGCCATTGTTTTCTCTTGAACAGTTTTTTCGGCCCCTGAAGCAACTTTTTCAACTGTTCTAATTTTCTCTCCGTCCGTCTCCTGTGTATTCTGAAAACTTAGCCTGATGTTTTGTCTTGTGACGCTTTTTTATGTTGTATTCTTTAACCACAGCAATTGTTTCCTGACAGATAAGACACATTACCTTTTCTTTCCATTTATCGTTGAATTTTTGACCCTCTGCATCGATCTTTTTTTTTTTTTGACATGGCACGAATAGCTCAGTTACCCTGTTGTCAGTTATAACATTTAGAACCGTTTGAAATCAATCCCTGCTTTCAAACAAGATAGCGTACACTAGACGTCATTTGTGTGACTGAGCCAATCACAGCAGACAACACAAATCCAAATGAATTCACGGTAAGAATCAGTTGTAGCACAGGCCTATGTAACCTAGGCTAAAGCTGAGGTCTGATCTACAGCTACAAGTAAAGTGCATCGATACTGTAGGTGTTGTTCTGCAATTGACCGTTAGTGCTAAGAGAGAGCAGCAAAGCTGACAAGTAGAGGCCACTGGTGGAAGATTTTCATTATCTGATGCAAAAAGTAACCCTTGAGATTCAAACAGTAGTGAGCTGAGGGCCACTCAGAAAAGTTCTGTGGGCCGTAGTTTGCCGACCCCTGCTTTAGGGTTAGTCATTCATTCATTTAAGCATTTAGGAATGTTAGAATTATTGGTTAAAATACAAGGCTTTTTTAATGTATATGAAAAATAGTGCCTGTAAGCAATCAATTACATTCACTAACCAATAGTATTTAAAACTTTTGAGCTCACAAGACTTCCTTATTTTTCTAAAATAATAAAAAATCTATGTGCATTACTGATTTTAATTATTTGCAATTTTTAACTTGAACTAGAAGTAACTAAAACGTAATTAGATATAATGTTGTACCACTGGCTGAATTAAGTACTGAGTTACTGGGTCATATTATTTTAGTGTCCAGTGTATCCTTTTTTTTTTATTATGAACAGCTGACTTTGTGTTAGAAAGGGAAAATCTAGTTCAAGGATAAATAACTTCACTTAACCTCTACAATTGTTTAATAAAGCATTGGTTTAAGATTTTAAGTCCTGTTCCAATATTATCAAATGTATAAAAATGTCTAAAAGTCTGAATCATTTTGGAATCCTCAGAAAGTGTTTGAAGAAGACTCGTTTTCCTCTGTTCTACAGTAAGCTCGGTATGGCTGGCCAGAAGCTTGGAGCTTCAGCCCTGCTTTGTTATATCCATCACGACCCCTCTGACCCAAGCAGCTACTTCAGCCTGACCTTGGCCAACGTGGGCACCTGCCAGGCTGTACTGTGCCGGGACGGGCAGCCCTTGCCGCTCTCTAAGGTCTTCAGTTTGGAACAGAGTGCAGAAGAGACCGAACGGGTCAAAAAGAGCAAGGCTATTGTCACTGAGGTACTGTATTGGTCGACTCTCCATCTGCATGTCTTTTGTTATTGGCTTGTAGCCTCATCAGAGAGACAAGAGCAAGAAATGACAAGTACGATGTACGATGGCAAGATGACATAGCTGCTAAAACTCTGGTTTCATACTCTCAGGGGGTTGAGCTATCCAGTAGGTCATTGCTGACACTAGAGGACAGTCTCACTCCCCTTGAGGTGGCCTTGAAGGTCCAAAGGCGAAATGGGGCTAATTGGCCACCCCTTCTCATCAGATGCCTGCTTGGTCCTTCTGATGCCTGATGTTTGTCTCTTCTCTGCCTCTCCCTTGCAGGACAACAAGGTCAGCGGTGTGACGTGCTGCACTCGCCTTCTGGGCTGCTCGTACCTGTCTCCCTGGGTCATTCCCAAGCCCTGGGTGCAGACCGAGGCCCTGTGTGCCCAGGACGAGTTTCTGATTCTGGGGAACAGAGCCCTGTTTGAGCACGTTTCCTACCAGAAGGCAGTGAGTACAGTGCAGGCGGTCCGGGACCCCCGAGCTGCTGCCAAAAAGCTGTGCACCCTGGCCCAGAGCTATGGCTGCCAGGACAATGTGGGGGCTGTGGTGGTGTCCCTTCACATAGGGGAGGACAGCTGCACCTGTGAGCCACCGTTGGCTTCCACCGATACCAGAGGGATAGGAACAGGAGGTGTGGTGGGTGGTTGCCCCACTTCTATACCCCTGGGAGAGCCTGCCACCCCCTCCTCTAGCAGTGGGATAGCGTCTGAGTTCAGCAGCGAGATGTCGGCCTCGGAGGTGGGCAGCGAGGCAGGCTCCACTGCCTCAGACGAGCACCCATCCGGTCTGGCTTCCCGGCCCGAGCGCCGCTGCAGCCTCCATCCAGCGGCCACCCTGTGTGGCATCGGAGGCCCCGCCGCTGGAGGCAACAACCCAGGCTTCTTCCAGAGGCAGCCGTCCTGTGCCACCTTCTCCAGCAACCAGTCGGACAACGGGCTGGACAGCGACGATGAGGCTCCACTAGAGGGCGTGATTTCCAATGGGAGTAAGCTGGAGGTGGAGGTGGACATCCATTGCTGTGCTTTTCAGATCCTCTCAGGAGCTCCTGAGGGCCCCAGTGACCAGGAGCTCCATCAGGATCACCGGAGCTTGGATTTCCCCACCAGCGGATTCAGGTCAAAAATGCGCCGGCAGAATAGCGTAGTGGTGTCGTCCACTAACGGATGCTTCCTCTCCGTGTGCGGGAAGGAGATCTCCGACCTGAAGAAGTCGCCTTCAACCTCCAGCCTCTTTGGGAAGAAGCTGTCCAACGGCTCAGTGGTGGCGCTAGAGGACAGCCACAATCTCATTGAGGTGGCCTTGGAGGCCCCGAAGAAGAAATCGGGCTACTTTGCTGCCCCTGCCCAACAGGACCCCGAAGACCAGCTTGTGGTGCCCCCCAGTTTGGAACAGGACGTGCGGGAGCAGATGAGGAACCAGATGCCCATCCCCGGACCTCCACCCCCGGGCACACCCACTGCTTCTGGAGCCCCTGACTGGGATCAACAGCAACCCCCCCAGCTGCCACACAGAGACCAGAGCACTGCAGCTGTACCGCAAGAAGTGTATGACACTGCACTGTAGAAGGCAGCCAGGCTCCTGCCTGCCCAAACTGACGGGACAGAGTGAGCTTAGACAACGCTGGCTGATTCTGACACCCATGGGACACTCCAGTTCAGTTGTTATGTTTAATAGCTGATTAATATTTTAGGACATTACCCTTAGCATAATATAGCAGTTTAACTCTTAAATATATAATTTGAATATCAGACCTACTAACTGAAGGACATATATAATATAAAAGAATATAATGATTTATGTAACTGAACTGGAAAGCAAATTGCATGAAACATCATTATCATTTAGGTACTACAGGCCAAACAACCTGAACTGGAGTATCTCATCTGAGAAACACTGCAAAAAAGATGTTGACGTAATGTTGTCTTGGGACAGACTGTTTACTTATTGATGTAAAATGTTTGTCACAACACATGAAGTTTCTTTTTTAAGTATGCAACTCCTTATTTGGGTGATAGGCTTTAAGTGTTACTTGACTTGTTTATTTATCACTGTACATTCCTCCTGTACTGAAGAATCTGTGTCTTGTGGCTCTTCAGCACCAGACAGAAGTCACAGAACCTAAAGGTGACAACAAGTGCCTGCAGCAGATTTTCAGTCACTTGGACAAGGATAATCGCGAAACTGCACACTGGCCATGGTGCTGGCATGATCAGATAACCTCATGTGGGTAATTCTTAGAAGACTGTGACCAAACGAAAAGATACAATGAGTTCAGCCCCATATTCCAGGAATCAGGATTTTTGTAAGGTCTTCTGCCAAACGCTCTTGTTCTGATGAACAACGATGATGACGACGAGATGACAGCAGACACGATCCTCTTCAGTTTTCCTCCCTCGGCAGTTCATTGGATTGCAATTGGACATTCCAGATCAGTTAGGAAGCTGAAGGGGTAAAAAATTAGCTAAAGCCTGAAAAGAAATGGTTTAACGAGCAAAGACATTCAATCTAAGAAGTGCTAATGGAAGGGATTTGGAAAAGGAGCAGTGCTTGCATTTTAAAACATGATGTTTTAATGGATTACTGTACAACACAGCCATATTAATCAACATTAATTTATTCAGTCAAAATATTAAGTATCTTTTTTTTTTTTGCAGTGGAAATGTGGTCAAATCTGTCCACTCCAAAAAGACTTAGGGTGGAGTCAGGAAACAAAGGCAAATGTCAATGCATTGCTTCGCTATTTTCCTGTCTGACAAATGCTAAAAGAAAGTAGTCACTGAAGAAACTGAAAAACAGAATGAACAAAATGAAAGTTGAAATATTTGTGTTGTGACTAGCTCTTTTTACAGTTCAACAAGTGTAGGCATTCAAGTTATGAGTGTTCAGCAAAGGAGGCCTTCTGCCTTATAACTCAAGTCAAACAGGATGTGATTTTCATGAATAATGCAGACTTGACCGAATCATCAATAGGATATCATTTGACTCTGGTACTTGAACTGTGGCGCTAGAAGCTGTTCAGTGTAATAATAGTGTGAGAAATAATAGTGACATGATTACACTGAAAAAAAGTCCTTTGCCAACTTTGAATGAGACGTTTTCAAACAAAATAGATTTTAAGGAATAATGCAAAGTGTAAATACATTAAAATATATAACTGAGTATATTTTGCCTACCAATATAAGAATGTGTCTTAGTTCTGTATGTCTATCGTAAAAAAGTGTATGTATGGTATTGAGAAAACTTATTTTAACCACACTGTATGCATATTTCATGTAGGCTTGCTGATTAATTAATTTTAATTTAAATTGTGAAAACTATTATAGAAGGAGCAAGCATTGGTTCACAAGACAAAGAAAATATATACTGTGAATTAGACCTTATGAATTCTATTGCCAATTATGGTTTGCACTATATAAGCCTGCAAGTCTTACTCATGTGGTTTATAATATTACTCATATTTCATGTTATAAAGCTATGATGGAGATTTATGGACAGTGTAATACAAATGTATCCTTGTTGTAATTGCCAGAAAAAAAGGTAATAGATTGCATACTGAGCATCAAAAGAAAAAATCACTTTCAACGTGACTGATTCATAAAATTATCATTATGAAAATGGTAAGATCTTTTTTTTTGTTGTAGGTGTTTTATCGTTTTGTTGAACAGACATGACGTAGTTAAATTCAGTATTCACATTAACTGTTGTAATCAACAGGGCTGGTCAGTTTTGAGTCTACTGGCTGAAGGCAGCCTCGGGCTGATAAAGCTGTAACCGTGTCCAGCACTGGCTTACTTTACACGCCTTGTGATGTTCGCTTTTTGTGACACATGCTTTGCACCAGTTTGCAGAAGCTGTCTTGTGGGAATCTTGTGGGATTCTGTCCCTTTCCTTTTATACAGCCTGTTCCACATACGTTCAGAGGGTTTCACGTCTGGCATCTACAGCATAACTCTCACATTCTCATCTCACCAGAAAACCTTTGTTACAGGGGCAGTGTTAGAATGTCTCAGGATTTAATATAGCACAACGTGGGGCAGTCAGGCTGCAATTTTCAATCACTACGCTGAAGCAAGTAGACACTTCTACCCAGATCATCACATTTGAACCCCTATATCGGTCTTGGCAAGATCTCATGACCTGTGGTCTCCCCGATTGTGGCCTGTTGTTGACAGACTGTGCTTACTGTGGCATCTTGCCCAGTTAAACCTTTCTGACCGTGATCATCTCAGACAGCAAGTGACAGCGTGTGAGCTTAGTCCAGCCTTAACATAACAATGGCACAAAGACATTGTTCTCCTGATTATCAGGTCATAGTGATTCCTTTCTGTGTTCTTCATTCTTGATTTATGCATTGTTTGAAAGTCAAGAAGTTAATTCACCTCTACCTATGCCTAGTTTCACTAACGAGGTGATTCAGTGCTTATGCAATAATCAAAGTCGCTTGACAATATGACAGTCAATAATTTGATCAATTAATCAAAAGGACACCAAAAATGCATTTAATTAATATCCTAAATCCATATACCTTATTTTTCTAAATACAGACATGGATTGAATAGTTTCGTTTGATGCTCAGTCAACAAGTGGTCACCTAGTGTCATCTAGTGGTCAAAGTGTTGTACTGCAGGGATTCCTCTTTTTAATTACAAGTTGGGCCGTGTTTTCCGAAGGCGATGAATGATATTCTGAAATGTTTTCATTCCGAAATGTGTTGAGGTATATAACACCACTTATTATTTTTCAGTGTGAACAACAGGCAGGAATGACAAAAAGTCCCTTTGAATGTATTTCTATTTTATCAACAGCAAAATAACAAACCTTGGGGTTTCAAGTTGCTGTTCCACTGACCGAAAAAAACCCCGAATGAAGGCAGGGTGTGACTCTGCATAACACTAGATTAAGCACATGGAGAAGAAAGCTCCTCTGGATAATGGAAATGGATTTTTGAAATGACACTAAGAAATTAGTATGCAGTAAATATGAAAAACTGCCCATAACCATATGTGTAGCAGTGAATCATTTTCCAAAACTGTCTCATGAAACTTGGATTTCTGGATTTTTTATGGGATAGTGCACTCTTTTAAAATGGTTCCCTCTCTGCACCTGCTCAGGCACTTTAGACTTGAGGTCCTTATTCAAGGACATCATTCTGTTTTTGATGTGGTTGGCCACAGTGCTGTATCCATGCTGCTTTGCCTATGCCAGCGATATCTGGGTATAGCATTCTAGATACTAGATTCTAGATACATGACATTTAGTAGCATCAGCTCTGTTGGAATATACTGAATTCTACATATGCCTGTCTAAAGTCGCATTTAATGCTGCTTAGTTCAGGATGGGCATATCTGTAGGCTTAATCACTGCCTGGCACTGCCTGTTCTCTGTGCCCAGTCCCTTGTGCCATACCAGTGGTTCTTATCTGCTTATAGTATTTGTTTCAGTAGTTCAGGGTATACTGTTCAAGTACATTTTTAAGCTTCAAGATCAAAATATAATAAAAGAAAATACGGGCAGGGCATATATAGGAAATGCATTTGCTGTATCATAAATGCATACATTAGTAGTAAAGAAAACAGCCTTTGATTCTGCTACCATGACTTGAACTATGGCTATATTTCCTGGCTGTCACTGGATAAAGCTGTGTAATTACTGCAGCAACATGAAAGAATGCTAGTGTAAAACATTGGGATTTGTGATGCCCACTGAGACCTTTATCTTGGCCTTGAAGGACTGTAAGATTAATTGTACTTACTATATTGAAAAAGAATTATATTGCTTTTGAGAGTTTATACTAAATTTAAGGAATTATGATGTTAGGAATATTAGTTTATTTTTTTAAGATCCCAGAGCTTTAAAATGAAATCCTAGGTTAGTTATTTGGGCCTAGATATAATTTAGGTTAGCTGCATGTAATTCAAACCAACAGAGAACTTGAATGGGAACAGTGACTTTATTTTTGTTAATTGAGACGATTCACTGTTTGATCAAATCTGTTTATGAAGGCATCGGACACTGTAGAAGCACTTTGTATATACAGAAATTAAATATAATAGTCTATATGAAGTATTTATATAAATGCACTCAAACTCATAGGTCTTGAGTTTAGCTTGTTGTGGCTTTTATTGGCCACTTAGATTGCTAAATATTCTCTAAGAGAAAGCTGCCAATTAAAAAGATCTTAATGTAAAAGAGCCAACCATGACATTGTTTTTTTTTTGAGTGACTGATCGTATACATGTCCATTTATGCTGTTAAACTGTAATATTCATGGGAAACAATGCTAAATTGTTATGTCAATAAACTTTGTTCTTGCATTAGAACATTATCTGTGTATAGGGATCAACAATAAAGAACAAAGTTGGGCTACTCCGCTCTGCATGTGATACAAATTGAAATAAAATCCTTTTATTTTTGTAAATGATATCATGCTCCATGCACCGGCTGTACTTTATGATCAAGCATAGATGAAAGAAGAGTTCTTCACATGTTGAGGAGATTCATGTTACAGTAAGAACTCTGCACGTAAGGATATCCGAGGAAAACACTGTAAAAATGAAAGCTGGGTGAGAGCTAAGGTTTTTGGCTGAGCTTTCAACTTCTTTTCTCGCATATACTGTATATCAGCAACGGTATACAGTTGATGGAAAGGAAGATGGCTAAATCTGTAATGCAGAGATATCATCCTAATACACCTAACATTCTTTCTGTCCTTGTGACAAGTGTATGCAACAATGTAGAGACAGAGGGAAAGCTGTCACGCACATCAATGCTCTTTGTGTTTTTTGGGACAAAACAGTATATGCAAAATGTTTCACTCATTCTTATAGAGTACTTTCTACTCTATAATTAGGCTTTGTGTGGCTAAGAATAGTGACTTTACCTCTATTATCCAGGAAGGAATGGCGACTACGTAGCACTAACCTTGATTATTTGATCTGCTTTGCAAAAAAAAAAGTGTTCTGCTACCATCTCAGTGTTTTCCAGGACTCAACATACCTGTTCTGCTTAGTCCTGTAAGAAGTTAATAAGATCCCAGTGCACCTTTCTACATATATCTAGGCCACGGTGTGCCAAGTCAGGATCAATGCTGTATCATAAATGAGGTGCAGTGTTCCATATGCATTAGTGTTTGTCCTAGTGTCCAAAATTCATTTAACTGACCTTATCAGAACATAAACTGGAAACCTTAGTTTATTAGAATTTTGCATTTATGTTTACAGTCCAAGTGTCTCCTATTTGAGAGTACCAAAAAGGTTTACTTTATGTAGTCACAGGACAGGCAGAAACAAAATAGCATGAGATGAGATTGCATGTTAACTCAATACGCCATTTTGTTTTGCAATACTTCAAGTAGTAGAGGCAGAAAAGCAAGTTGAAAATTAACTGGACAAAAATGTGTTTGGAGGATAGAGCACAGGGTAAAGTTCAGCAGAAATGCATGAAGAGAATAATTTTCCCTTTAAATCTAAGAGTTAAACCTTGTTAACAGATTTTTCTACCATAATGTTATGTAAATGGAATAAATCCATTAGACACGCAAAGGCGATTACACACTTTTAAAAGCATCATTGCTGTAAGAATGAAAGATCTGAGTCAATTTTTTCTCATTTTTGTCCAATTGAACTTTTTCTCCCGGAAACTTTTTTACATATAAAGCAACATTATTCCCTTAAGAGTTGAAAAGGAGACCGTAAAATAAGTATTTTAGTTTATTTTTCACATAATGAATATGTATTGAACAATTTATTTTGCTTTCATGTACAACTCTGGATTATTTGCATAATATTATGGTAAATACACAGCAGCAGGGGTGATGGGAGATATTAACAGGCTTAATATGTGACCAAAGTAAACATTGTTCAAATTCATCATTATTTCTGTATCTTCTTTTCTAGAGATGCCTAAATATTTTCTCTGTATGCCAATAAAGTTAACATTTATTTTTGTACTTCATTGTTTCATGCAGATTTATAGATCCTTCTCTTCTACAAAATTTAGGTTTTCAATTATCATATATTGTCACCCATCTGTTAATTTAATTTTTTTCTTTTCCAATGAAATTCTTATTAGTGTATTTAACGTTTCAAGCATGTGTTATATACAAATGTGATTAATTTGTACAGAATCAATGGTTTATGTTTCTAAGGCATTGTTTTAAATATCTGGAGCATTTATGATATTTTTATGTTTATATTTTAGCATGCAGATAAACTGCTGAATATGAAGAATCTGTTCTATAATGGATGTAATTAGTTTAGACAATCTTTTTTGTTGTTGTTTTGTTATTGGGGGAAAAAAGAAATGAGAGCACTTTTGCTGTTCCACAGCCTGGGTTTGACTCCTTTTGTTTTGGGGGGCCGACAATGGTTCATAATTTCACTTGAAATGCTGCTATATAGATGAGATTTGGGCAGAAAAGGTGTATTTTGATTAACTTTTCAGCCAAAGTAGCAATAAAAATTTATACTGTGAATCATCTGTGGATTTTTTTTAATGGATTGCTTTTGGGGTGAGCATTGAAGGGAAGGGAAAACAAGGTGAAGACTGATATCGAAGAGTGATGGATGATCACCATTATTTTACAGGAATCTGAGTACTATACTGGTTTCCTGTAACAGATCACCATTTGAGTGATTGATCACAGCTGTTTTGAGTTTGCTGCAAAGAGTTTGTCTCAGCCTTTTGATGGGGATGACTGGATTCAATATATGGGGACAGTGAAGACTAGTTGAATATGATTTCTTTTCTGCCAGAAAGTGGGAGACATTACAGAACTGTGTGAAGTCGGGAAGCAGGGAAATGTCTGTATTAGTGTCGGTACATATTTAGTTATATAGGAGTTGCATAAAGGGTTATAATTACATGCTATTACAATGTCCTTTAAGTTCAATTACATTTAACAGCAAAATACTTGGATCATTAATGGATGTTTGCAGCTTTATCTTCTGTCTGAAACATTAGGAAAGCCTACTGGCTTGTACCAGAACAGCTGCCATTTATTTTACGCCAATCCCCATAAATAGTCGAATAATATTTTTAAAAATGGTCTATGAATGCCAACAGTAGTTTTAATGGCAGAGGAAGAGAGGTCTTGAAGAAAGAGTTAACTGTACACTGGCTCCTCCACAGTTGTGAGTGAGCGGCCGGAACAGTACTGACAATGTGGATGAATCCCCCCCCCCCCAAAAAAAAAAGCTGGTCTTCCATCTGTGCCTGCAATGTCTCAGTTTGTCCAGTGCACCCCACACCTCAGTTCTTCAAGGTGTCTGTGCATACCCCCAGTACTCGGTGCGACTCCCTGTATCACATTCCCAGCCATCCCTTCCAGCTGCAGAAGCATGTATAATAGAAAGTACTGTGTCTGGTTGTCAAGGCCAGTCCTGAGCAGGGCTAGACACACTGAAGCACAACAGGTGATCTGTTCTTCAGACTATGTGGTACTTCAGAATGTGATACTGAAAGTGAAATGTGTGAACAGGGAGTTGAGCTATTGGAGAAGAAATCCTTTTTTAAAAAAAGGCCATATTGGTAACTAAACTGAAACACAAGTCTTTTAGTGTGTTTTAGCATCTTTTAGCTTGTTTCAAAGACCTTTTCTGTTGAAACATGCTGTTAGGCTCTCTACAAATGCTTTTAATTCTGCATTGTATGTCTTGTTCCAAGTTAAATCGCTTGTCGTTAAACGGTACATTTTACTGTAAGAACTCTTCATCAGCCACCAGAAAGAAACACTACAACACATTCCAAGTATAGAAACGTGAGCTTAATGTGATTTTGTGAGAAAGAGCGAGTATTAGGAAAATATTAAAAGCCTCATTTACAAATGCAAGACATTTAATTCTTTAAAAAGCACTAAAAGCATCATTAAGATCAGAACTGAAAATTCCTCAAGGTTCAATACCTTTTGAAAAACTGTTCTACACATCAGACTCCCCAGACACCAGACTCAGAGTCCCCTATTGTAAGAATATACCCTGACACAGTGCATCCCTTATCTAACAACTAAAAGCTCAAAAAATGCTGCTACTAAGCGATGAATTTGAGTTTACAAATGCTTGCATTAGAGCTTGTTTGAAAAAAACAGTAACTACCAATCTCAATAAAAAAATGCTCATCTTCAACACTAATAAAAAAATCTGTTGCTAATACTTAGGAATGTGTTCCAAACACTTAAAACAAAAAAAAACAGTAGTAAACCTTAGCCACAACATTAGTTTTAAGTTTGTTCTGTAAGTATAAACCAGAAGTTGAACCTGATTGTATTTTGAGCCAAGACTGTACTTAAAGGTCACCATGAACACTGGTAATTATCACAGAACTAATTTGACGACCATGATTTTGAAAAGCTGCCTGGGAGTATAAGATAAGGAGTTAGAGAGCAGCGTTTTTCTCTTCAGAGATCGGTTTGTTAGCAGTAGCCTTTTCCGGGTCTTTTTGGATGCTTCCCAAAAAAAAAAACCCCCCTCGACGAAAACTATTCCTCTAAAAGTCATAAAAGTCCCGAGGTGGCTGTTTCTTAATTTCCCGCACCCTCTTGAAAGCCCGCAGGGCCAGGAATGCGCTGAAGGGGAAAGCCAGGACCCCCAGCGCGCCGAACAGCCCCCCGGCTATGTCCGCCCCGTGCAGCTTGCACCCAAACCCCATGTGCCCTTTGCTTCTGTACAGCTCCTCCCTCTCCTGGCAGATGGCCGAGCTGTAGTTGTCCTGCAGCTTGAGGAAATAGAAGGCGAGGGCGGGGAGGTAGCCCAGCCCGATGAGGGCGTCCAGGATGCCCTCCGCCACGAGGACGAGGGGCCAGCGGTAGGGGACGCGCAGGACGCCCAGGAGCAGCATCAAGCAGGCGTACCCCATCAGGGCGCCCCCCAACGCCATGGTGGCCGCGTAGGCCGGCACCTTGAGCTGGTAGAACAGCACGTCCAGCTCCTTCACCCGCGTGGCTTCGGCGCCCGTGAAAGCGTTGGCCCCGCCGTAATAGTAGGCGTAAAGACCCCCGAGGCTGGCCAGGTCGTTGTAGCCCCCCGCGGTGTTGTAGGACACCCCAGCGCAGATGACTATCAGCATGTTGAGGAAGATCTCCATTATCTGGCACAGGCCTGCGCGGGGACATCCACACGCCAGGAAGAGAGGGACAGAGACGGAAAAGGCACAGGTCACAGGTCACAGGTCACTGGGATTATGGAGAACAAACCATAAGAAATTTGACCTTTAGGCTCCCGCGGCTCAATGACATTTCACTCAGGATCCTAGAGACTTGCAATTTAACGAAGCTGAAACGCCAAAACTACACTTTACTTTTCCAGTCTGTAAAGTATACCTTCTGGTAGGTGTAAATATATGATTAGAAATACTCCTTATGTAAAAAAAGAGCAAATGCACTGTAAAAGACAATATAGCATAGTCCACATATAGGTAAATATAGGTATAGGTAAATGACCATTGCTATAAAAAATACTAACTACTTAGCTACAATATAGGCTACTCTTTTTGGACATGGTATTTGTTGATAATTATTTATCAGGCATCAAAATAAAGTTTAAGTCATTTATAAAAATAAAACTTTTGATTACCAATTTCTGTATGACAACATTCATTTGCATAATTTATCAAATTACTCTGAAACATGCTATAGGATAAAGTTGTCGATTTTGCAATTCCTAGATATAACAAGGTGTCTCTTTTTCAATATACAGTATGTGGATATACAGCTGGTTTATAGAGGTTAGCCAGTAGCCTAGAACCCTATCGGGGATACAGCACAAGCCAACTGAAATCATGGGGGGAAAAAAGTATTAAAATAAAAATTTAAAACGATAACCTCAAAACCAAAATTATACAATTTTAAACAAGCCTAATACAGTTTATAAGTTTCAAGTGCACCTCCAGAGGCGACTTCTTCAGCCTGTATAAAGTAAGTGTTGTATGCTGGGACCAGCCTGATCACAAGATTACACACTGGGCCCTGTCACACCAGAAAGACTGCATTCCTTTCCCTCTTTCACACTGGCTTCCACTACACAGACCTTCCAGACCTGACAGCACCGCCATGTCAAAATGCAAATGGGTAAAAGGGGCCTTTTCCCCACTGCAAATCTGTAACCCAGCATTGCTAACAGATCTTCACAAATTAGGACTCTCTCGCAGTCGCTGAAACCTGCGCAAGAATGCAGCAGAGCAGGACTAGTCCAGTCTCCATATGCTGACCAGTGACAAGAAACACTGCATCTCCTTTTAGAGAAATCATGTTATGTGCTTTATCATAACAAAAGGTTAATCTTTCACAAAAATTATAACAAATTCCTTTCAGTCCTCTGTTGCCACATATAGCAGGAATACCACCTTTCCAGAAAATATTAAGATTCACATCTCCTGTAATTAATGGACAAACTGCTTTTCTGATTTGAGAGCACACATTATAACAATAAGCAGGGAAATATCTTTTATACAGTATATCAAGATCAGCCTTTGAGAATATCCAGTATAATAACCATACATACACAAAGGCTAGGTCTGAAGCTAAGATTATTCCTTCTTTCTTACATTGATATTTTTTTTCATTTTTCAGGATTATGATTAATTGGTCATATTGGATTTTTAACCAAGTCACAATGCAAGGACACTTACTGCCATATTCTGTTTTTGAAACCCTACCTTCCTCAATTCAAATAATTATGAGCAGGATTATTAACCCTTTGCTTTTGTAAAATGTCACCAAATAAAAATGAGGTTTAAAGTAGTTTGCATCATGGATTCTCTTTTAAAAATCGCCTTCATCATGACACTCACCTCTAGAGGTAGGAATATATTTGAAGTTGTAGCAGCCACGAAGCCCACTGGATGGCACTGATTCATCATAACTCATTTCATCTGGAGGCACTGAGGGTCCCTGATGTGACCTGTGTTTAAAGTAAGTAACGATGAGCACTGAAGAGAAGAAAACAGGCCCGGCTCTTACCTCACCTGCTACTGCAGGAACAACAGAGCAATGGTAACCAAGTTATAATGTATTTGTACACTTTATATACAGGAACTGGGCCAAAGCACTGTCGGACCAACAGATTTAGGTCTTTATAGAAAGTCCAGACACCTGGGAGGGGAGAGTTGTGGGTCAGGAAACAGACGAAAGGTTTACACCACCAGCTCCAGCCTCTGAGTGTAGACTCAGACCACTTCAGCCATCTTCAGAGTTTTCCCACTGTGGTTTTGTTTTGACACCTCAGGAAAAAAAGAGTGAATTTTCCGTTACCTTTCTTCCCTGTAGGAAGGAGGCTGGTCCCTTTGAAGTTGCGGCCCTCCGGAGCTGCGGGGATTCCTGTCCTCCCGTCTGTCAGGATAATCCCGGTCTCTCTTTTCCAGGTAGCTAGGATCCCTGTCATCCCAGTACTGCGGGTGTCTCTGGTCTCCGGCGTGCCGGTACCTCTCCCTCTGTCTGTCCATATCACGGCGAGTGCCACTTTCGCTCCTCGTCTTGCTCTGCGGCTCCTCATCTCTTCCAGGATTCCTCCCACCTCCCGGCATCTTATGATCTGTGAGTTCCGTGAACGTACTGTATGCCCTGTGGATCGATGAAGGGGCAGAGAACAGCTCAGAGAGAAAAACAAAAGTAACGCACCACTTATACAGTAGCTGCAACAGTCCCACAGTGGTAGCAGGAAAACGGCAAAATCATTTTCGTGGCAGGTGTGCCAACACTTAAGTGAGCAGCCAAGACACAGGTGAAGGATATCAATGTACCACAGTCAGTCATGACGGATGCTAAATCATAATTACGCCAGAATGCTTTAAGTAATATCCAAAAATACATATTATCCATGTTCTATACTATGTGTTTTTTAAAAAAAAACATGCAGAGAGTGATTTTTATACTCGCATATAAATATTACATAGTGCTGCAGTGCTGTGCAAATACTTTATTAAATGCTGATGCTTTTTAAAACTAACGTGCTCATGCTTTGCCAAATTTAACAGGTCTTAGAGCTTAAAGTTAGTTGTGAGCTGCAGGGTAATATAGCCCACTGAAGCTCAGCAGGTACTGGCCAGTACCTGGATTGGACACCTCCGGGTAAAGCTAAGGCTGCTGCGTGAAGAGGGGTTAGTGGGGCCAGTAGGGTGCGCTCACACTGCAGTCTGTGTGGGTCCTAATGCCCCAGTATAGCGATGCTTACACTATACTGTAAAAAAGATGCTGTCCTTCAGATGAAACTTAAAACCAAGCCCCTGCCTCTCTGTGGTTTTTAAACATCCCAGGGAGTTTCTCGAGGAAAGTAGGGGTGTCACCCCCAATAACCTGGCATAATTTCCCAGCGGCCTTTACCAATCACGGTCTCCTAATAATCCCCATGTTTGAACTGACTTTATCACACTGTTCTCCTCACTGAGAAGTGGGAGTCCCAATTACCTGAAAAGAGCTTTGAGTGGCGTGTCCAGAAAGCGCTATGTAAATATAAGGATACTATTATTAAAGCAGCGTGTAGTTCTACTAGGTGAATACAAAGACGTTAAGCATAGTTCTTCGTAACTAAACGTAATCTACACATTGGACCATAATCATATGTAGTTCGAGTAGATAGCTGCGTCAGCATGCGTAGGATACAAAGAATAAGTAAAGGTTTAGTCCATGCTGAAAAGAGATAAAAAGAAACAACGTTTCAAGATGTTGAGCCTCCTACAGGTGTGAAGGGTGACGTTTTCAGCGTGGAATAAACCTTTACTTGTTCCATTGCATAATCATAATATTGTTATTTAAAGTGTTAAAGTAGGCAAAGAGTTACGCCTGCATCTAATAGGGTTAGTAACGAGTTTCACTGGTTTTGGCCACCATCACCCTGTATGTATATACAATTACTTTGCGATTTTTTATTTTGCGTATTTTATACTGATTTATGAGCACAGCTTACCCTCAGAAGTCAGCAAAAGAAGTTCCAGTGCTCCATCCCGGGCTGTGTTGTACAAATAGCTCCGGTTACCGAAACCCGGTTTGATGCGCCTCTCAGCCGAAACTGGTTGACCGGTCAGTAGTTTCCCAGTAATTCGCTAACCCTCGAAACAGGACTTGAGTTGAGAAATAACTCGTGTATCTTTCAGAGGTCAAATAAAGAAGTTGGAGGTCTTCAGTTCGACCTAAATGGTTTTCGGACTCAAGTTTTCAAGTCAGCATCACAAATACCACAACTTCCGAGTACGCAACATAACAAAGAAAGCGAGGTTTTGTGGTACTTCGTTTTATTTTTCGTCGTGTTGTTGACGAAACATGGACATATCTGCCTCGAGTGACCAGGTTAAATCCATCGACAGTGCACAACTATTGTATTTTGATGTTTCACATCCGCCATTAATTTTCAAGGTACACTTTGTGCGTAGCTCCGACACCACGATCCCACACACACATACACACCTCATACCTGAGCTCACAGCTTGACTTCCCAGACGGAGAACCCCGCCTTTAAAAACTCGTTTTTAACTGGTCGCAGCGCGACTCACTGTTTTAGGAAGTAATTAGTATTTACTTTAAATAGCAAATATTTGATAAGGCAATATAAGAAGTATGTTAATCTACGTTCAATGTTGCAGAAACAGTTTTAATCGCTCTTGCAAATGGCATTATTAAACCTCTAGTTTTCACGATGGATTTCAATTTGATCATATTCGTGAGGTATAACTATAATTTTATGGCTACAGCTAATGAACAATGAATAAAAAACAATGAAAATGTAAACCGATAGGGTGTTCACAATTAAAAAAAAACTCTATAGAAACGTCTCTGTCTCGTCATCAAAACAGAAAATTCGGTTTTGACCACTAAATCGGTGTGGATCCAAACTGCATACATTTCCACAGAAAGAATCTCACAAAACATCAGAAAAAAATGGTCTTTAACCCCGTGATCTGCACAACTCATGAGGAAGCCAAACTGTGTGAACACATCCATTCCAGTTGCTGCTGGGAAAATTGAACTCACTGGTATTTTCAACTGCAGGAGCAGGACGCCTATCATGTAAAGGGGGGAAATCAGTTACTATTGTAGAATTTAAATCAAGTGATGTTACAATTGTACAATTCATTGTACGGTTATTGGTCACATTGCAAAACATTATTGCTGCTCTTGAGTCAGTCCAGAGAATGAAAAAGTCAAGTCTTGAGTAGAGCAGTACCAGATTCAGACATTCAAATTCTTAAAAGATGTTGATAAAGTCAGCCTATTGGACTTTTTCAGAATCGACAGTGAAAAAAAGACAGGATCACAAGTGGGAACTGCTAGGAAGGGTATTTGAAACCGAGGAATGGAGGCACGAATTTACACAAAGGGTTTCCCGTGGCACAATAACAGTTGTGTTGTTAATGCAGATACCCTAGCTTGCTTCAAGAAACGTTTGGATTAAATCTTGGCAGGAATTATCTACTAAAACATCAGCTAGCTTGGACCAGTCCCGCTAGCTTGTGATCATTTTAGATTTCCTCTGTCATTTTAGGAAGAAATGATTGTTCCTGAATACAAAACATGCAGAGTCATGCATTAAAGACAAGTGTGCCATGTCTCCCCTTTCAATATATTTCCCAAACCGCGAGCGTGTACCCATGTGCTGTAGGTATAAGGGGCCCTTTCGCCTCCGCTGGCGCTGGGCATGCGCAATGCGGTGCGCGTCCCCGCGTTTCTCCGCCTCCCACCCAGGGCGCACGCGCTCACCGCGGACTCAGTCAGGCTCTCAAGCGCGCGCAAGCCAGAAGCAAGGCGAGACAAAGATGGCGGCCATGGTGGGGTTAGCAGCGTGATGGGCAGGAGGAGGAGAATACAACCTTAACGTTATATACTCTAGATTAAAAAAAAAGAAACTACATTGAAAATGTCGCAGTAGAAATTGATTTGTTTTTGAGTCAAAGACCACATTTCAGCTCATCCCTGGAGAAGAGGAAGTTTATTTTCTTTTTTAATTGTAAAAAAAGAAAAGAAACTCGCCGGGAGCATGGCTTCACACAGCAGCCAGGTAAAAACTGTTCTTCACTCTGGTGTTCCGAGTCGTAGGTACTGCAGCGGGCCTCGGAGACGCCACGGCTCATGCTGGCATGCGTGTGAGTGCTTTGGCTGTTGCAAAGTGCAGCTTTGTCATTGAGAAGTGGGCGAAAAAAAAATTGCAAGGCGAGTTTCCCCGAGCACGGGATGCCTGCTTCCCCCATTGAAACCCCAGCATGGACGAGGCCCAGAGGCAGCCTCACTCATTCATAGACGAGAGCTCCCGAAGAGCGAGTTTAAGTCCTGCGCTCAGAAATCCGACCCGTGCCGCCGTGTCGACCCAGCCCCGGTTGCATCTCAACACGTGGATGTTTGCCCCACTCGGGTGGTTTTGCATTGCATTTCGAGATGGTTTAGCTGGCGTGCTCGGCCCAACCTGTACCGCAACAGGCCTCGGCGAGCTGAGAGCCGCTTTCTTCCGCGGTGTCAAACAGCGCGCTCGGGTAAAAGCCACCCTCGCCGTCAGTGAGTTGTGGTGCACGACCCGTTTTTGTCCTGACTGGGGGTTTCTCCCCCCCTCTGGAGTCGGTTTTTAATTCATTAAAAGTGCGAAACGGTGCATCCGCTGGTGGCATGCATTGGGCCTGTTGATCGGGGAGGGGGGGCGGTCTTGTTTTTCCGTGTTAGGAGACTCATCCAGTGTTGTATGAAGGAGAGCGCAACGGGACTTGCAATGGACATTTTTATAACTCGTTTGTCGCTCTTCAGTGCAAATGCACTTTACTTTGAAAAGGACGCCTGCGTAACGTGTTTGGGCCTGTTCATCATTTAGATTCTCATCGCAGCCTTGCCTCCACTGTTACCCTATGAAGCCGAAATAAATTTGAGGAGTAGCCGTAGATTTTGGGCCCCCTACCTTTTTTCCCCTAAGGCGCAGAGACTATTCTAGCTGTGCTTTTATATTGTAAGAAAACGACACGAAAATCGGTGATCGGAGAGAAATTTAGAAGCATGCAGGAATAATGTGGAGTGCTGGCTAACTCTGGTGGGAATACCGGATGATAACTATACTCATGGTTTTCCTAGCTTTGGGAGAAGTAGCTGAAAGACCTTTAAGAAGTTTCGGTACCTGCGGTTTCTTAGGTTTGGTGGCGGAGCAGTCGTGGGTTGAAGGGTGAATTTGTGATAGCAGGCGGTCTTGAGAAGTAGAATTGTACCACAAAATGCTGATAGGTCGTAGACAACAAAGTGTAGGCATTTGAGTGTCCAGCGTAAGTTTGAGGAAAGCGTGTTTTTTTGGAATTGCTAGATGCAGGAAGCGGTGTGTACTTAAGCTCTCGGATACTTGCGAGTTTGGCGTGTATAATATAGCATGATTTTGATAGTGCAAGCTATTAATGTATCGTTCTTTCTCTTTCTTTTGCTTAGCTACATCTTCGCGTTTATAGTTTCAACTTGGGCAGCGCGTTACGAGGAGTTGTAACGGGAACATTGAAATTCAGCTGAATCATAGGCGCCCATCCCCCTACCAGGCAGCATTTTTATACTGAGACCACTGTGAGCAGCTCGACATAGAAACACATTTGCATTGACTTTTTTTCAGTATCACGATAAACGTACAGGTGGTTTAGTGTTTTTTTTTCTCTCCCGGCTTGAAAGCTGGGCGGTTTGTGCCGCTGAGGTGGTGTGTAGTGCTTTAAAACTTCAGAGTGCGGCTTCCATTCAGGACACTTGACACGTGATGCCGCTCAAGTTGTTGAAACTTACAAAAAGGGATGAATTGCTTTATTGTAAATCGTTTACGGAGGACGTAAAATCTTATTTTTGTTTACTGCAGTTTTAACTTGAGTTTAAATCGGTTGTCCTTAATTAGTATAAACCTAGCATGTTTCGCGTACTTAGTAATTGTGCCCAGACCGGTGGGGTGTTCAGTTTTCAGAGCACAGGGGGAATCCTTATTTAATATCAGTGAAGAGATCATGATGAGGTGTATTTGAAGAAAATGTGTAATACGTTTAAGATGTATAGATACGGAACTACCAATGCACTTCAGAAAATCTGCATTGTTAAAAGCTTTGTGCATTTTCTGACTTTTCAAGGACACAGTATACCCCCGTGCGTGGATACTGTGGATGTTTCTTTTTAACTAGATGCTTTTGGTCATTTCCTGTACTTGCATCGGTTTGGCTATCAGGACATAAAGGAAAACGCTCTGTACGCTAACTTGATAGATATTATCTGCCTTTCGCTTTGCCAAGTTTAAAACAGCGCACGAGGTTGCCCTACCAGTTTTTGCAAGTTTTACCTCAGCAAAGAAATTTAAATTGTATAAATGCTCGTTTTGTATTCCAGCTTGCCTATGACATTTCTATTTGACTTACCTTTTATTTGCTGTATTTCTTTTTGATGTTAAAGAATGCTTATGGTCTTTAATTGCATGATGGTGTATACAGCATTATGCTACCAGACACCATGACAGTCCATGTGGATTGGGAAGACTTGCCTGGAGTTTAGAGCTTATCGTTGTAGTTCACACTGTCTGTTGTGGATTTGTTGTAGTGGATCGGTATGTTTTTCATTCAACTTTGCTGCTGTTGGCAGAGAGAGTCAAAGACAAAATATAGTAGTGTGCAAAATAGCTCAGTATTAAACTGATCATGGAACAAGTAATAGGTTTATTCCATGCTGAAAAAAAGAAGAAAGAGAACACAACGTTTCGGCCGTGGAGCCTTCTTCAGGTGTGAAGGCTCACACCTGAAGAAGGCTCCACGGCCGAAACGTTGTGTTCTCTTTCTTCTTTTTTTCAGCATGGAATAAACCTATTACTTGTTCCTTTGCAGCCTACGCATGCTGACGCAGCTACCCACCTGAACTTAAACTGATCATGCTATGCAAGGATGAGCCTGTGTTGCAAAAAATGTTTTGGGTTCTTTTTGGTGTTTAGATGACCTTTGTGACTGTGTGAAGCACAGACTAGTTGTGGGTTTGTTGTATATAATGGTCTTTTAGGGGTACCATTCTGAGTGCTGTACAATGACTGCACTTTGTGAATAGAAAAAAAATATTAGCCAGTCTTATGTTTTTCGTGCTATCCTATACAAACGGGTCATCACAAGTCACGTTTGAAATCTTGAACAAAGCATGCTTGTCATAGCAGGTGCTCACAATGTAAGAAAGATAGCTGAGGATTTGGGTCTCTAACCTTGAATGCTAACTTTGGAGATTCCTCAGGTTGGTATGCAGTGATACATTTCTGTTAATGACTTGTGACTCAAGTTGGGGGAGACTAGCGTAGGTGGATGAATCTTAACAGGGCACTGGTAATGCAGGATTAATGTCACATGACGTGAGGGGCAGTGGTTTCTTAAGATTAAGGAAGCAGGATCAAAAGACTGAAGCAGAGTTTTAGTAGTGACTTCTGTCCTTGTCAAAGCATTGGATCATGAGAATCGTAAAGGTGTGGTGGTTTCTTCCTGTCTGTAGTGTAAAATCTACCTTGTTTCCTATTCCAAGCCCCCTCTTTTCAGAAGAAGTGCACTTCCTTAGCATGATTCACCAGCATTTAGAGAGACCTTTCCCCGGCACATCTTTCCTTCCCATGTTTTTTTTTGGCTTGGGCAGACAATATATTGTGATTGACGTATGCTGTCAGAATATGCTCTTGTAACAATGCATGTGTGCTGTTCAGGTGCAATTCTATACAAGTCCAGGCTAATTGGATCACAAAATGAGTCTTTTTAAAAGATGAGGTTTGGATTATGTAATTAGACTGGATATACAGTCTACAGTTAGTTGTTCCCATGTCCCCCCTCCCCAACTCTAGGATTTTTGTGACATATGTCTTTGAAGATGTGCCGATGTGCGCAGAGCTGACCATACTCTTTTTGTATAAACTGTAGTTTTAAACTGGGGGAGAATATTGGGATATTGGAAAATGAGGTTTTAAGAATTGTACATGGCTACTTTTTGAACTGAAAACCAATATGTAAAAGTAAGTGCAGATGGACAGTATCTTTACTTTAAAAGCATTTGTTCTGTGCAGAAAGTAGGAATGTTTCTCATTGACTTTCCATTTTTTATTAGTTGCTTGCATTTGTGTCACACCGGGTCCAGAGCGCTTCACGTATAGGAGACAAACTTCACCCAGCAGTGAAGTCTAGCACCTGCTTGGTTAATGCAGCCCCACTGCTCAGCAAGTCAGAGGAGAGAGAAGTGAGATCAGTTGAGTTAAAAGGGGAAATGTTGGGTTGTCAGGTTGTGTAAGCACAAAGTGGAATTTAGCTTTGGAAAGTTTCCTTCGAAGTGTCCCTTAGTTTCTATAATGGCCAAATAGTCAGGTCTTGGTTTAATGTCTCACCACCTACACTGCAATGTCTCCTTACCATACCTTGTGCATTGGTTTAGAAATTCTGGTCTAGATGGAAGAATTCCATCTTTTTATTCCACGAGCACAGCTCGCAGCATGCATTTTTCCCTCAGGGGTCTCCCATCCCAGAGTTTAAGCAGCCCAGCCCTTTTGTTTAAATCCTTCATTGCTCTTATATTGATACCTTCTCATTGTCAGATGTTTCAGCAGTGTGAGATTGTGAACAGGACTTAATTCTTGCTCACAAGGGGTTGTAAATCTGTTTAGGTGTTTTCCAAATGGAATTATAAAACCATGACAAGCATTGAACTTTTTAAAAATACAACAGTACTCTGGGATGTTTAGACCATGTACAGAATTGTTCAGGAGTAAAATTTAAGGCTGAATTACTGAAACTGATTTTTTTCACTGTTGTGAAACATTTTTCTTGATTTACAGATGCAAATACCTTAATAAAATATCAGCTTCGCAAATCATTGTCACAGATGGTTTCATGTTTCTCATGGGTTGTTTTCTTTTTATAGCAGGTCCCTGCAGCACAGAGTGAGTTTCCAGGAGCATGACCAGAAAAACCTGTACTGCAGCTTCAGTCAATAATTGTTGCATCATTGCCTGTTTCTTAGAGTTTTCTTAAAACTATAGACACAACTGTTTTAGTGTCATTAAAGGTTCCCTTCCACAGTAACATCTGTCCTGGAAAAAAGTAAAAGTACTTGCATCCTTTAATAGAGAGTTGAATACCTATGTTCATTACACTATACATGTGGAAAGCATTTTAGTTTATTTAGTGCCTTCTGAATTCCTTACACTGGAAAAAAGTTTTATTGTGGTACTTGCTTCAGTGCAGAGCAGGCCCAGCACTCATCTATCGGCATGATGCCACTGTACATCATGACAGGTTTGGGATAATTACAATTTTTTTGGAATTCAGATTAAAATGGATGAGGCCTGTGTTTAATATTTAGTAATGGGTTCACTTTTTACAGTTCAAATGTTTTTTTTTTTGCTTGCAAGTTGCAGAGTTAGACTTGTTCACACCCGTTTCCCTGGCTGGGGCAACGATCCTGTAATTTCAAATTTGTCAGAAGAGCGTATTTAAATTCACAGATGGCTAATTTGCAATAATTCCCACTCTAAATGACGTGGGGGGAGTTGGGGAGCTTAGTGTGGTACGTGTGGCATTCTATGTAGAAAGCAGCAAAGGGAAATTCTTTCTGTTGTAACAGTATTAACTGTCTGCAGGCCGTGGGATTATAGCTGTTTGTCACTTTAATGCCATTTCAGCAGAGTAGGTTCTCATTTCCAAAGAATTACACATGCTTGAGCTGCACTTTCTTTTGTCTTGCAGTGCTTTTTATATCTGGCTGTTAAATTTGCAGGCAGGATTAGTTGCCTTGTTTCCAGCTTGTTTCATCGTTATTGCCCTCGACACATGTAACCCTTATTTCTAAAAGTTAAAGCACTGACATGTCCTTTACTAATGGTTGTACAGTCCCTCTATTTCATTTGCATCTCAGAATCTGTCTGGATTCTGCAAGTGATGATTTTTCTTTAACGCAGCTCTGTCTGTGATCGGTAAGTGCCACAGACATTCAATTGCACAGCTCGTGCTGCTGGGATTAAGTTAATTATAGCTAGCAAGGGAAAACGCAGGTTGTCCGCATAGAGGCTTGTGGCCAAAACAGGGCGTGGTGTTCAGTTGCAAAGTCCTGCGAAGTCTGCCATGTCAGGTTGTGTGCCTGTCGCTTATTTTAACACCTGCTTTAGGTATACAAGGTGGATTTACTATTTTCATCATCTTATAATTGTTGACACTGTGGATAGGATCTTCAGCATAGGCCTATGTGAGCTAGTATCTTAACCTTGTAGGGATTTAGAGTATGATTTTCAGTGGTTACTGCAGATTACTTACATTTAGCACATTTCACATTTGGAAGAATCTTTTTAATATCTACCTTTTATAAAACAAACTCAAAGAAATTAAGTCAAATCCTACAGGTTGAGAAAACCCCACTAACAGTGAAAGGTATTTCGTTTGAAAAATTAGTGTTCTTGAAATTCTGCACAACTTAAGTAGTTTTAAATTAAGTGTTAAACTGGCCAATATAACCTTTAAATAAAAATAGGTACTGAGCAAATAACTAGGTTTCCAGATATTTTTGAAAAGGTAAATGCATAGTTTTAACAGAAATCACCTTTTGTACCTTTTGAACATTTTGTTGAGAAACATTCTTGGACACTTGGCCTCTTGCTGCGTTTGCATGGGCTAATTCACTTTCCTGTTACTTCATAACAATCTCATGTGCAGGGCTCAAATTTGACCTCACATGCCTGTCTCTGCTCCAAACTATGGTGTCCTGGTAAGTCCAAACAGTGTTTTGTATTTTATATCTTTTGACCCTGATCACAGGATCCCACTTCAGTTGTGGACACATAGTTATTTTGGTCTTTAAAAGTAAACATTGACTGCTATGTGCAAAATCATTTTAATCATTTATCCTGTTACACTCCCAACTTGCATAAATATTTAAAAACTGGGAATAAGATTGTTTTGCATTCATCTTTTTCTGAAAAATTAAGATCACTTTATTAGCCGTATACAATTTCTTGCATTAGGAATTTATTTTCGCATACCCCAGCTTGCTCTCCATGGTGCAGGGGTATGCGAATAGACAAATTCCTAATGCAAGAAATTCTATATGGCTAATAAAGTGATCTTTTCAGAAAGTTGGGATTACTTTTTATTCCTCTCTGATTTGTGATTGCTGTGAAATAAGCCTGACTTATTGCACAAGCCCTGGGTGAGTGAAGGCTTGTGAACTGTCCACTGTCAAAAGTCATTCAGGAATTTGAAATCTATGGAGCCTTAAAGAAGAGTAAATGCCAATTAAATGAAAAGATTGCTTTCAATGTTGGCTCTACTTATGAAGAGAGAGGGCTGATACTTGCGTTGCCACTTGCAAGATCTGTGTCATGGTTGGCTGATAACATACTGAATTTGAACCAACAGTACCTGGACTTCCGGGCTCGGATTGCAAGCCTGGGCAAGTCACACTCCAGGTTTGAGAAGCTGTAGGTTTTAATTGTTCTTGGTATGTAAGTAAGTGACATACCTGGAACTTCTCTCCTTTTGTTGTAGACGTAGACTCTGGTCTTGATTGCTATGTAGGGGTTGGAGGGCATTCTGTGTCAAAGCACTATTACTTCAGGAAGTAGGTTAAGATTTGAGCCTTGAGTATTCTGTGGCTTGATATTACATGATTATACCAGAGCTGTAACATTTTGAACTAGCTTTGCAAAACATGGTATTAAGACTTGTAGGACATCAAGTTTAAAAATTAAAACAAGTCCAGTAGATTTTTTTTTTTTTACTGGGCATCAGTTGGATTAAAATTCATGTCAACTTGTAGCTCAAGTTTGCTTCCAGTGGTCCCATACTTGGATGATCATTTTACCAGTTGAGTTGCATTTATGTAAAAACAAGATTCTGATCTTGGTTAGAAATGTTAAGCCATTTGTAATAGTTTTCAATTCATTTAACAGAATGATGCAAGTCTCTGAGCAAATTATAATCGAGCTGCTTTATATTAACCTCAAGATGCACTGGAGACAAGTTGTTTCTGTGTAATATGTCATTTAAAACAGTTAGTTGGGACAGATTTAACAGCAGATTCACTTTTTATTAATGAACGCACAAAGAAAAGCCTTGTACCATTTAATGCAGAATGACTCATCAGATTTGTAACCCTTTACTTATAAACCTCAATGTGTGTTGCAATCCAGGAAAACAAAAACTCCTTTCCACAACCTTGATTGCACCTGGACAGTGTAATCTTTGCTTTATGCAAAGTTAATCAATATATTGATAAGATGTGGATATGAATCGTGGCAGTGCATTTTCAACCTGCTTTGCTAGAGCTGGGTATACAGACAAGGGACTTTGAAAGAATGCAAAATCAGAATCGTATCTTGGTTTATGATGTTTATGTAGCATATAGCATTGTTGCTCCTTGCCCCCTTTTTAAGTGTCTTCATTAAATTAGCAGTGGATTTCTGCATTGAGTTAACTGATTCGTGGATCTCTAGTATTAGATTTATGGCAAAACAAGACAGCTGGCTGGAGGGAAGGGTAACAAGACCATTCAAGGTTGGTACTTAAATCATACACTGAGTCATCTGCTTAGAATGGATTCAGACGTTCTCTGCCCTTTTGTCTTGAGTTCATAATTGGTGCAGTTTTTGGATTGTCTTTACAGGTTGTTGGAAGTTTTATTTTGCAGCTAAAGACACATTAGGTCATTTTTAAAGGCGCGGATTGTTTGCATTCATAAATCCTTTTAAGGGTTTAAATGTGAATAAAATGTTTTTTTCACAGTATGATTTTCTTCTGTTTTTCAGTACATCTTTGGGGAGTTCAGCCCTGATGAGTTCAATCAGTTCTTTGTGACCCCTCGCTGTTATGTTGAGGTAAAAACTTAATTATTCCTGTTATACAATCGTCTGTGATAATTTGTTTGATCTTCCAAGGTGTGTCCTTCTGCAACAGACTGCATACTTTTTGCAGGTGTCTGAAGTGTTAAACTAATTGTATGCCTTTGTAATGACCGTTTGTTCTGCCTAAGAAGGACTGGAGGGAAAATTATAAATTTGTCATGTAGATTTTGACAGTTTTTTAAAATGTTCTTCTGTTTTGTTTATTTTTTGATGTTCTGTTCACTAATGTATGAGCACAGAAAATTGCAGTTTGACTTTCAGTAATGAAGAATTTTTAGCAGTGGGTGGGGGGTTCATCATTTCAAGCAAGTCATCACACGCCAGAAGTTCAAAGCCTTGGTTCCTGGCTATCACAAATTACCAGCCTTATTTATGCAGGGAGTGTTTTTCACTCATTGCGGAAATCTACAATGCGGAAGAGATGTTTAAAAAAAGTCTGCAAGAACAAATAAAAGTGAGGAAAACTGAAAAATCGATTTCTCTTTCAACTGCAGGGTAACTGTGGCACAGATGTCTTTGTTTTTAAAAGAGACAATCCTGTACAAAGAAAAAGTAGATGCAAATATTAACATTTTTGCCAAAAGGTAAAACATTTAGGCAATAGCTCCAACCTTACTTTTTCATTCCATTGTTAGAAAATCCATAGTGTATTGGAAATCTATTCCCAAACAATTTGGTGGATTTACAAAGAAAACTATGGAAAGCTGGTACAGAAATCACTACCTTCTTCTGTGATGGAGTGAATAGTGCATGTGTCTGGAAAAGGCTTATGCTGTGCAGTTTAAAGAAGCCTGCATGAGTGATCTCAAGAGTTATGAGCAAGACAATGTGTTTGTGCCATGTAATAGTGTCTGGCTCATGACTGCTGCTCAGGCTTCATTTCTGCAAAATCTGGATACAAGAACTCTTGCCCACCATTGTTTTCATTTGGCGTCATTTGCAATGCAGCTCTTTCAGTGTACCATCTTGAAGAAATGGGATACAAATACAAGCACACACCCAGAAAGACACTTCAAATCAGTTTGTACCTGCATATGATCCATCCAGGCAGTGGACACCAACTGACGGTTAAAAATTGTAGATATCGGGCGAGAGTGGTAATGATTTTGTTTTTGAAAGGATTACAACTCACTGTCGTTGGAAAGCAATACTCATTGTTTTGTGAAAATGCAAAAGAATCTCTCGGTCTGGGTGAATATTTTGTCCTTGGAAACTATTCTGAGAATTACTTTGTGCAGCAACCTGAAGAACAAAAATATTCAATGGAACAGTGGTCAAGAAACCTTCCGTTTGCCTGGTCCTGTAACACTGGCAGTCCTCTTGAACATGTCATTACCACTGTGCTTTCAAATTTCAGGCACCTCTTTTTCAAAGATACTCCTTAGTCATTTGTAAAATTATGCAACAGCCAAGAATTTCTCTGATGCAGAAGAATTGCATTTTTAAAAACTAAAAATGTCACTTTATTTGCTGTGGATTTTAGAATCCAGTCTATTTGGGCATTTCTTTGCTGTGTCTCACGACAATATAGTGCATATGTATTGTATTATGAATACATAGTTACAGTGCAGAATTAAAATGTTTAATAACCAACATGTTTGAAAGTTAGAATCAATTCAGTTTTACAATACTGAACAGTTATAAAGTGGAGATCTTTTAGCTCGGTGTTAATTGAATTCCAGGCAGAACATCCAAGCTGATGAAACATTTTGGTTTAAATGTTGGCATTTAACAGTTATTGGTTTTGAAAGTCATTTGCAATGCATTCAAGTGGTTTTAATTTTGTTTTTAAATCTTGATTCATTACCTGAAATTGTTGTTGTATATTTTTATAACTCTTACCAGTAGGTACTCATAACAGGCACCTGAATAAGCTGTCTAATTTGCTTTATTTAAAAAAGAGCATTAGACCACAAAATTGTTTTTTTCTTTCACAGCTTCCCCCGTTCAATGACAAAGTTCCACGTGTCAGTCAATCCTCAGGTAAGAACAGATATTAGAATTAGTTTGATCCCAAAATATGTGAGCAAGATGGATGCAAAGGCCTTCTCATTTGTAACTTCCCATTTTGTGAATAGCTGACAGTACTCAGCAGTGTATGTTTGTGATTCCTGCACTGTTCTGTGATGTTGCAATCAGGTTTTGTAATAAAACACCAATTAGATGACATTTGGAACCCGTCCAGGTTCTGTGATCAGATTAAGAAGTGCCTCACATCTAGATGCAAAGAGCTTCTAATTAAGAAGCAGTTTGTTTAAAAGGTTAAATGAATCATATTGCAATGGAGTTGGTCTGGTCTGCACAATGATTTAAAACTAAAAAGTGACTGTATTTTTCAAATGAGAAATAGATTTCATTAAGCTTTTCCAACAAGAGGAGACCCAACCATGTGTTTTACTTAATGTAGTTTCAATCCTTTTGTAATTCATTGTGATTCATTTTTCTTGAGAAGCCTTTAATTCCTACTTAAACCTAATGATTTTGAAAAAGAAAATCCTTCATCTTTCTTTAATCTGTATATTTATCACAAGTTTGTATTAATTATTTAGGACGTTACTGTACTCCTGCTGTGCCTTTCCTTACGGAAACGATGAAACTGCAGGTTTGCGGTGAGTTCTGGGTCTGATACAGGGGCCCCTTTTGCTGCAGATTTGAGACCCAGGTCTAAAAGCTGGTGGCTTTCTAAACACTCTGCCTTTTATTCTTTCATCTTTGTCTGTAAGATCTGAAAGGCTTTGCATGCTTAGATGCCATTAAATTTCTCACAGTTATTCTTGAAAATTGCACAGCAGTCCTTCATGGGATTATATTGCTTTTCAAATTTTTTACATTTTTCCTTGTTGAATGAGGTATGGCAACAAAGGTGCTTCTGTACTGATTCCTGGGGGTATGGATGATTTAAAGGGATGCTAACACTAGCTTTTATGAAATTTGTCGGGTTTTTTTTTTGCTTTATAAAATTCGTTTCACATCAGTTTGTGCTTGAATGTTTGCTTTAAATTCGAACCTGCGAACTAACAGAGACCTGTAATTATTTTTAAATGAAAGGAATGAGTGCCATAGACCTTTTTAACCTTAGGAGTCTTCCTGCTAGTCTTGCTTGGTACCTTTTCCCATTGGTGTGGGGCTGAGACATGGCCCGCTGTTTGTCTTGGCAGCCCAGCATTTCAGAATTTCCTCTTTAGCTTTGGGAAACAGGTTACAATCTGAGCTGTGCTAATTCTCTCTCTATATTCATCTTCATATTCATTCTTCTAGGTATGGTATATGCATCACTATGATTTTTTTAGTCTCATTTAGGACTGGCTTAAAAGGAAGGTGATAGATTGTTAATGCATAAAAAATCTATGCTTCTATGGGGGTTCAACATCCATGGACCCCTCTGCCATCTTTTTAAAAAGGTGATAACAGGGAATGGGTTGAAATAGATTTACTTAGTAAAATGCCTATAGTGTTTAGCTGATGTTTTGCTTTAAAGTGAAGATAGCACCTCATTTTTCCTCAGTTAATCATATTTAAATAAAAAAGTATTTCTCCTCCATGGAACTCACTGTTTGTCACTTGTCTAAAAGGTTAGAAGTTCCAGTGGGTTTAAAGAGCAGTTTGTTGCTTTAATAACTGTTTAATTATATACATTAACAGTATAAAGCAGAGTAGCCTCTGGTTTATTTCCATAAACCAGAGATTAAAACACCAAGAAAAGTCAGTAAATGTTTTAAAATTTGAATGAAAAGTTACTATGCTGAAACTTTGTCATATGTCAAACATCTCACAAAGTGTCAAGTGTTTGGTCCTCTTGAACAGTGACAGTTTACACTTAAGTGATGCACAGAGCAGGGGCTATGGTCACCGATGTATTTGTTACCCCCCCCGACTTGCAGACTTGGAGTTCCAACCCTAATTTGTTTTTTGCCAATTCACAGGTGAGGACTATCAGCGCATTGAGTTTGGTGTGGATGAGGTTATCGAACCGGAGCCTGTGGGGGTGAAAGATTCCATGTACAAAGTTTCCAGCACTCTGAACCCCCAGGCTCCCGAGTTCATCCTGGGCTGTCAGCCCTCACAGAAGGTCTTGGACAGCTTGCAGGCCAGCGGCAGCCGCGAGTTCGACTCCGTCGACTGCCAGGATTCGGAGCTCCCGGCCTTGGATGGCAGCGGGGCATGCCAGGACATGGACGGGGCCCCCGGCAGCCTTGGCCCCAGGGAAAGGAAAAAGAAGAAAAAACGGCCGCCTGGGTACTACAACTACCTGGAGGGCTCCAGCAGCAGCAGCAGCAGCAACGGAGGCAACAGCAACAGCGGCGGCGGAGCTCAGGCCCACTCTGACGCGCAGCTGGTGGTGGGGCTGGTGAACGGACATGCTGTGGGAACCGCAAGCCTTGGGTCGGAGGAGATTGGCGGGGAACCAGCGGCGGCGGCGGCCGTGTCGGGGGCTGAGCTTCCCAGGGGCAGCCCTGCCAGCGGCGGCGCCCCTGCCGTGGCCGCTACTGGTTCCATCGCAACAGTTTCGGTAACCAACAATCAGAGGACTTGTGAAAGCCCTGATGAATCCTCTTCGGACTTCACTAGCGGAGCTGCGTCATTATCAGACAGTAACAATGCGGTTTCCTCTTCCTCTTCCTCGCATAGCAGTGGGGTGGCGGAGGGAGGCAGGACTGCTGAGCAGCCGCCTGAGCCCTCCTCTCTGGAGAACCCTGAACTGCTAGCCAGCAGGAGGGACAGCCCCAGTCCCACCTCTCTGCTCCTCTCTTCAGCCAGAGCATCCTGCATTGTTGCGACTACTGCTGCTGCTTGCCTCAACGCTGCCAGCGCCTCTGCCACTACTGACGCCGCCCACGCCGCCGCCGCCGCTACTACTGATGAGGAGGAGGGCGGGCACAGCGGGGCTCCCAATGGGCTGCCGGCGCCCGAGTCTCAGGACAGCGGGGAGGCGCCGGAGGACTCGGCCGAGCCGCGGCAGCACCAAGCGGGGGCCCCGGCCGAGGCCAAGCCCGCAGGGGAGCGGGCCCAGTCCCCCCCTCTGCTGGCCGCGCCCGCGGCAGCTCCCCCCAGCGGTGCAGCCAACCCTCCCAAGTCCTGGGCTAGCCTCTTTCACAACTCGAAGCCCTCGCCCGGCGGGCCGGCGGCTTACGTGGAAGTAAAAAGCGCGCCGGCCGCGGTCGTCGCTACCCAGGCTACAGCTCAGGCGGCTGAGAAGCCAGGAGAGGTGATGGAAGGCCCCGTCCACGTGTCTGAGGATCCCATGGCCCCAAAGATTGCAGGTAGTGTACCCCAAGTGTCACTCGAATCTTTACTTCCCCTTAGGTCGTCGTTGTGGCTTGAAGGATACCCGCACTGCAGCACAATGTTGTCTAGTTTGTGCGGTAGGAATTTCAGATGGTGGGGGGAATTGATTATAGCAGAATTGAAATGCATCTCATCGTTTGTAACCGGCAACGTGCCCTTTAGATCCGTTTGCAGTTTGCTTTGCTGGTCTTCGGCGGATAAAAGTTGGTTCCTCCACAAGGTGGCACCATGGAAGCATTTTCTTTTAAAGATTTATCAGATGCAATATTTGACTTAGAGGTCTTTTAGAGACGCCCTGTGTGACTAGTAAAAAAGCCGTTTTGTTTTTTAAAAGAGAAATGCATGAAACAGTTTTCATTATTCTAAACTTCAGTTGTGGAACACCTCCTTGAGATGGGCCATTCTGGCTTCGAATGTTGCGTTGCAACAGGTATTGTTACAGCTGGGACTGTGGATTGGGTTTGCCTCAGTGTCCTGGAGGCATGTGAATTACGGCTGTATGACACAAGGTGGAGCTGGAACACTAATAACGGGGCTGCTTTTTTCACCACTCGGGTTGGCTTACTGTTAGGGCCCTTCTTTCCCAAACAAGGCCTTTGAACATTTTTCATAACGTGTTTTTGAATTTCAGGCATGTTTATGTTAATGATGTGTCAGAGCCCTTTTGTCTTAATTGTTACAAACCAAATTAAAACTGATAATATTTATCCGAGCTGTGTTCAAAGGATAGATTGCAGGGTTTATCAGTAGCTTCTTACTGTTAAAGATATTTTTGTTAAACTTTTGTCAACCTTGATTGGCGTCAAAAGACAAGCTGTAAACTCTGAACACTATGGTTGCTTTGCTTATCTAGATTAATGCAACTATCTAAACAATCATTGTGTAATTTCTTTTTATGCTTTTATTTTCTTGTAGTGGAACATTCTTTGCTTCCATCCCCTTATAAGCATTTGTCTCCTACAAGCAGAAATTCTCCGTATCTTTAAGATGGTTTTCAAGCTTGTTCTTCACCTTTAATAGTTGTGCAGTAAAAGTGAATTATCTGCAAATATCTTGAGAAACTACTTAAGTAGCAACACTATTGAGAAGTACTAATTTGGTTCTAAAACTCCTTTTTGTCCACTTTGTGTGATTTGCTAACGGGTAAAAGCCTTGAGCATAAGTGAAGCAGGGATCTAGACTCTCTTTACCCAAAGTCTAATTCTTAAAATGAATACGTTTGCATATTTTGTGAACCTTGAGTTTCCTTGGTGAATAGTTTTTTACTGTACGGTTCTTGGTTTGTCTTGGTCACCAGAGAAAACATTGGTGCATCAGATCTCTATTTTGCCAGGAATAATTTTATTTAGGTTTAAAATTTGTCTTAATAACCGTGATCAGCGTATACATTTTTATGCCACAGTCTGTTGCCAAATATCCAACAATGGAATGCATAGTGAGCATCAAAATCTATTTTATAAATTTTAAAAAAGGAACAAAGTTTGGATATTGTTTACTTGATTTGAGTGACTGATTCATTCATTTTTAATGACATGCCCGAGTAACTTTGTTACATAAGCACTCAGTCACGTAGATGGAGTTGATTGGGCACAGGTAATGAGGTAACTTAACCTGTTGAATGTCAAACCGATCAAATCCAAGGTTTGATTTGATTCCCCACTAATCAAGAAAGCAGTGCCTTCTTGTTGTATTTGAGGCTGGCCTAAAACAGTTGTATGCTGTTTGGGATGCTTATTGCCAGGATTTCCTAATCTGATGTGGTGTAGTAGCAAAAGGCTGTTGGTGATGCATGATCTGGAAGGCCATTAGTCTCTACACCTGGCCAAGATATTGGTAATAAGGGGGTTTGATGACAGTTCGGATTTTAATGTTATGGTTGCCCCAAGTTAGCATCTGCTGTGATTGCATTATGTCTCTTAATGTATCAATAACTGAATGTGCATAGGTGCCAAATGGCCTTTTTTTATTCTTGGACTTGTTTCTCATGTCAAACTAAGGGCAACACTTAAGTATAGCAATGTTATTAAGCCACAATTTTGTATGGAATTTTCACAAAATGATCAACTGTACACTCGCTGATCAGAAAAGCGTAATCTAATGCATTGGGCTTCTGTGAGCTGCACAAGCAGCTTGAATGGGACAGTCACCAAATTGCATCTCATTGTTCTAGACCAGCTATCTTAATTTAAGGCTAACTGGTGAGAAAAGGGTATGTGAGTATATTGTGCCTTCCACCAGTTTTAGAAAGGATTGACATCTGGAGGTTTTTTTGGCCCACCCCAATGAAAGTGGTGGAAGGACATCTTTTTATGCTCTTCAGGCCGACCATAACAGCACCTGCCCATGAGACCTTGTTTCACTGGAGCTTTCTAATATTTTGGCCAGTGAGTTTATAATTAATATTATAATTAATTAACCACTGTGCACCAAGGTTAAAATGATTTTGACAAAGTCCTATAACTTTGGGTGATGCTTCAATTGTGATGTGTGGTCCATTAAAGCAAGCTGTGTACCATAGAGAAAATGTATTGCAGATTGACTTTTCTATTTGTGTTTTCTCTGTATATTGTCTTTTGTGTATTAATCCTGTTTCCTAATGTGTAGGTTTAACAAAGTAAAACATGCAAATGTATGTACTAGCATGGACTGTTGCACAAGAAAGGAATAACTAAAGAGATGTTCGTAATAACTTTTAGGACCTTTGTGTTTTACTCATAGGATTTACCTTTGTGACTTTGGTTTCTAAATTATATTGTTTGGGAACTCTTGTGCTCTGTTCTGTATAGCATAAAAATATCAATGTTATTCTCAGTGTAAATAGGAGGGAAACTCAACTTCATTGTTGTATTTCTTCACATCCTCAGAAATGATAGAGAATGTCAAGTTGATACACAAACCAGTGTCTTTGCAACCCAGAGGACTGATCAACAAGGGGAATTGGTGCTATATCAACGCTGTATCCTTTTATATGTTTCTTCACTCACAAGATTGTGGTTTGACATATGGGTGGTATTCGTTTTTTGCAATTAAACTCTAGACAGCTTCAAGGTCCGATACTAGAATAGTTGTTCCATCGTGACTCAGGTTGGAATTAAAGTTCATGTTGAAGTGAAAAATACCTTAATAGTACAGTTAGAGTACAGCAAAAATGTCATCAAAAACATTAAGCAAACTTTTTCATTTGCCAACTAGGATTACTTGCAGTTTTTTCTGTTCATTGAGTTTGAACTATATAGGAAATGAACTCTATACCTTGAGGGGGAGCAGGTGTCCCAGTCTAGAGACCAGATGATATTTCACAACAGTATTACAGATTATTACTCAATTCCATTTAACTGAAATTCTTTTAACTCTTTCATTACACAAGCTGCACGGACCAGCTTCTGTTACTTTTGTATGTGTGGGCAGCTGATGGCAGGACCTCAAGGGTGTATCTGTCACATGTGTTGGTTGATTGGTCGCTTGGAATTTAGCTTGATCTTCAAAGCTAGTGTCTTTGGCAGCTGCTGTTTGTCATGACGGCTTCTTGAATTTTATATTTGTTATTGAGTACTTTTGTAACTGGACAGACAATACAGCTTAGGACAGGAGTCTTGCAGGTTTGTTTAGATCTTGACTTTGTATATTTCACCTTTTCTGAATCTTTTCACAATACAGCTGACCCAGAATATTAATACTTTTTTGCATGAACTTGGCAATTTTATGGTCATTTGTTCTTGCAGCGTTTCCTGGATGCTTTTGGCATTTGTCTGCATTTAGGAAAAGTAAACCCAGCATGAACTAAAATAGCTCAGCAAGAGTTTAAAGGTCTTTTCAGGAGCTTACTCAAGGTGCAAGTCATTTCAAGTGCTTTCTGAAGACATTTCCTTTGTATTAGATAAGTTATTTAACACAAAGGTCATATGTGATGTTTAACACTGGGTGTCCTTCGAGTAGTTGATGGATAAATTGTCATGCCAGTGGCATTTTTATGGTGCTTGGCAGGGATGTTGACAGCTCTCGAGTTGTTTTTCTGTGACGTTCTATCCCTAAGACACTGCAAGCTCTTATTGCTTGCCCACCAATGTATCACCTGATGAAGTCCATTCCCATGTTCAGTGAGACACAGCGGCCATGCAGCTCCACTCCCATGATTGACAACTTGTAAGTACTGAATGTTCCAGTTTTCATGTTTGATCATGATAAAGATTGGTGTGGAATTGTAATGTCAAACAAAGCAAGCTTGAAATGTGTATCTTTAGTTTTACTTTTGGTGTCCAAAATGATTCTCTTGACGTTATTTGCCAAGAGTTTGGTCCTTCCTGCTGCACCACTTAAATGTTTAGAGCCTGCACGCAACCATTGTCTGAATGAGTTTAGCTTTTTTCAAGCGCAATTCTTTCCTTTAGTTCAGCCCTTAAAGGTGCTTCTTTTTAAATGTTTTAAAATTGTTAAATAGCTCCAAAACAAACTTTAATGGGGGTACTACATACATATTGTCACCTTTTTGCCCTGAGTATGGTTTAATAAGGACAAACGAGCCAGAAGTGGTATGCTATAGCTTCCGAGACATGGGTGAATGTTGGCGTTTTTCAGCAGGTCTTTAACAAGACTATCTTAAACTTAATAATTTATTAAAAAGAGCCTGTGGTGCCTGTAGGAATGTTTTAAAACTACAGAAAGCAACAGTCTGAAATTTGTCTTACTAAGACTACAATTTATATTGCAGTGTCCATCTTGTGAATGAGTTCAGTAATATGCCTGTCCCTTCTAAGGCAAAGCAACAAGGTAGGTCCTTGAATTACTAATTTCATATATTTCTATTACTTGTTGCTGATTATTAGGTAGTGTCTTTGATGTTTGTTTTGTGTTTTGTGTATTGTAGCAGCTGGAGACAAAATAATGAAAGACATTCGACCAGGAGCTCCTTTTGAACCCACTTATATCTACAGACTACTCACAGTCATAAAGTCTAGTCTCTCAGAGAAGGTAAGTGATTGTCTGAGCATTTCATGAGTCTCTTAAGGCAGCAAACCATGTTTTTTCATGTTATGCTGAAGATTTTGAAATCAGCTATGACGTTTTATATTGGTTATGTATTTTTCACTGGAGGGCATGCTTCCTGGACAGATCTCAATACCTATAACATAGTGTGACTATAGCCAAGCTTTCATGTCGTATGTCTACATCAGTAGTTGGTACTTTTTAATAAACTTTGGTATTTAAAACCATGCAACTCTGGGATTTGAAACCACATCACATACCGCAACGCTCCCATTCTTGTGTTCCATTGGGATTTCACACACTGTCTTAGCACATTTAGAGGACTTACCTGTCCGTGCAGATGAGTTCTGTCTGTACCTGCTGGGTGAAAGTATGTGCAAGTAAAGTATACCAGCTTTGCCCTTTATTATTACAGTAGCTGTCTTGCTTAATCCCAGAAAGTCTGCAGTCATTAATCTGTCTAATTAAGATGTTCTTTATCTTGCGTGTTCCTCAGGGTCGTCAGGAGGATGCGGAGGAGTACCTGGGCTTTATCTTGAATGGACTACATGAGGAAATGCTGGCCCTGAAAAAGCTAATTGCACCACAAGAGGAAAGTAAGTAATTTCCTTTTTTTTCTTTCACAAGTATAGTAGAGCACACTTGGTAAGAGCACAAAATGTGACTGCTGTTGATTTGTGAAGTTGTGCCTAGCATTTCTCACAGTGTTCTCGTGCTTGCCCACTTGTAGAATTGCCGCAAGCTGCTGCAGAATTTCAAATTGATTGCACAATACAGTCATAGTTGAGGTTTGAAGTTTCATTTTGACTACTATGGATGCTTTTGATGCTTGTGAACAGAAGTTTCCACAATAAATGGCCCAGAGCCCCAGCTAGGAGCTGAAGAGGAAAACACAGAGAAGGAGGAAAATGGCAGCGAAGACGAATGGGAACAAGTTGGACCCCGAAACAAGAGCTCAGTGACACGCCATGCAGACTTCATTCGCACTCCCATAACTGACATATTCGGAGGACACATCAGGTAAAAGAAAAGGCAGATGGAGTATACGGTTGCATGGTTTAGTGTTTAAGTCTAAGTGTTTAAGTGTCCTGCTGAGTCTCTAATACTCCTGGAAGTCATCTCAGTGTGGCAGACTTCAGGTTTTGCAAAAAAAGATCTGGAAGTGTAGAAACCTAAATGGATGCCAATACACAAAGGGAAATTCGAGAACTAATATTTTTCTAAACTAAGCACATGTTTATAATAAAATTGAAAAGAAAACCTGTGATCAAGTTCATTGGTCAGTACGTTGTTTGACTACTTTCAGATTTAATTCGATTCTAATAGCATGCCCATTCCCAGATTTAGGTGAGGGTTCCATTCCGCAGCTCTTTACGTAACCCCAATTTTACACCAGCCTAAAGCAACCCCTTCTTAGCTGTGGTGTGAGCACAATTGCCATTCATGATATTTCTAAATAAAAACATTTTATAACTCCATTATTAGAATAACTAAACACCAAATTTAGCATACTTTTACAAAAAATGTTAAATACATTAAGCATTGGAGAATTTCCTTTTATCAAATGTATACTTCATGTTTCATTACCCTTCACTGTACTGTTCATAAATTTTAGATGCACAGTAAATCTAATAAAATTACTTGGTTGCTTCACTGCCATGATTGCAGTCTGGGTTGCTAACAATTGTCCTCAAAAAAAGCGTGGGGTGCCATGCAGAGGTCTCCCCATGTCTGTGAAAATAAAGCCAGACCGAGCTTAAAGTAGGAGTCCTGGTAGATGCTGGAGGTGACCATGTTACACGTCCTTCGTGCCAAGGATCTCTATACATTGCTTTTTATGCACCTCATGTAAACTTTCCATTACTAGAATTTCATTATAGGACCCATGGGATTTTTATGTAAAGTTGAATTTCTGTATGTTGAGTGATGTGCATCCGCTCCCTGTGTTACACATATCTTCTGTAAATTGGATTTAAACATTGTAGTCTTATGACACTATGCCATTAATATGTTGGAAAGAAAAGACGGCAAAGACATTCAGATTCACAGGACCTTTGCTCTGAATTAATATGGATGTATCGCGGAACTTAGCTATTTGCAATTCAGTAGGCCTCACAGCATAGTGGTCTTGAGCCAGACTAATGAAAAGGCTAAAATTGAAAACAATTGGTATGGAGTATCACAAAAGCGGTTAGGCTGGGGATAACTACTGCTTCTGTGGATTGCTAAATTAATTCTTTGAAAAACCACCATCATGCCTTGTGTAATTACTCATTGTTTTCAATTTATACCACAAAACCGAAAAGTTGGATAGGTTTATCCTTTCTCAATTTCTGCAACATTGCATCTCATTCTGGTGATTGCAAGTAATTAGCTTGGCTGGCAGTGCAAGCCTGTTTTATTCCCGTGCAGCTCTGGGGGGTCTTTTTTTAATGAATCTGAGTTTTCAGAGAATAAGGTTCTTGTTCTTTCACTGAGCATTGCCTGAAAGCTGTATCTAGGGGAGGTCGGTCCCCTTCTTCAGGCCGTCCCTGTGCTCTTTGCTATTTGGTGTGTGTTCTAGTGGCAAAACCTAGGCTTGTTAGCGAGTTTCTGTCCTCACCCTCTCATCAGTGAATGCAGAAGGCTTGTTCTGTCCTTTAGGTCGGTGGTCTACCAGCAGAGCTCGAAGGAGTCGGCGACGCTGCAGCCTTTCTTTTCTCTACAGCTGGACATCCAGTCTGAAAAGATCCGCACTGTGCAGGAGGCCCTGGAGACCTTGGTGGCACGCGAATCCGTTCAGGGATACACCACTAAAACCAAGCAGGAGGTGGGGATCAGGATCTCTTTCCCCCTCGCTCCAGCAGGGGTGTGTGATTCCCTTTCTGAGATCTAAGTACAGTTTGCATATGGGGAAGGGGTGATGTTGTTTGCCCTTTTGTTTTAAGTGCATGTTTCTGATCATATTAAAGTGTTTATTTCTTTGCGAAATGGGGAGTGTAATACGGTGATACCTTGTCATGCAGTTATAATTTGTTCTTTGAAAACCGCTCGTAATTTGAAAAGCCATCTAACGGAAATTAAATTCCCATTACTTCCAATTTATAATCTCTGATTCAGAAACTCGGGAATGTTCTCTCAAATGCCCAGACTTCACCTTAAAACAGCACAGAATGGCTCTTGATTAATTATTGGCAGTGCCTCCAAAAAGCCCAGCTTGTAAGTGCCAAATCTGGTTGTTAGATGAAAAACCAGGAATTGCTACATCTCATACACAAACTTGTATAGCGGTTGCTCATATAGCAAGAGATTACTGTATCTGGTAAGTGTTCAATTTACCCATCCTTTACTAGGATTAGGGAATTGCTGAAACACTTGAGCATGTATGAACCATAAGAATCCCCTTTTGTTCATATTTCGCGTACCATCTTTTTCTGCATAATGCATTTTTTAATTTTCCACAGTGTATTTTCTGATCTTAACCTGAAGTTCAATTGAACTTTTTTTCGAAGCCTATTTGTTCCAGAAATTGGAAACAGATATTTGTCTTGGAACTTCTCAATTTTTTTCCCCAGCCGTGCGCCTTATTGTACTTAAACCCTTCTAGGAAAAGAGGTGTGGATAGCAAATCCTTTAGAATTGTGTGTATGTGTTTTGTGACCTCATAGTAAGAAAAAATAAGGTTGCCAGCAGAGATCAGTCTGGGGTACATTTTCAATCTGTCATTGGAGCATGGAAAACTGTTAATAAATAAGGGAAACATCTGGAGGCCAGCTGCACATTTTTCTGTGGTCCTTAAACTGTTTTTTTGCTTCCATCTTCATTTTCCTGAGATTTTTTTCGTATCAAATATTTAATTAAAAATCTGGCAATAGAACGATTTTGCTGTTTTGCAAGATTGTGGTTGCATCTGGTTTAAATTAAATTGAGCATTTTTGATGGTTTCTTGAATGCTTCTAATGAAGTTGTATTAAAGTTTAAACAACTGCTAGCAGGAGGGCCTCGCACAATGGGGTTTCGTGGGCTTCCGGTGTTTTGAGCCTGACACGTCGCTAGCCGACTGGGACCAGGATTCCCCAAGTGCAGATGCCAGATGGACTCTTGGCAAAGCTCTATCACTTGTGATTTGTCCCAAGAGCCTCTGCAGGCTTGTCATCTCGGCGATAGTTGACTCTCCTTCAGTTGGTGCTGATGCACCTGTAGGTCATTATAGAGCCTGTAGCAAAAGATTAGTACCTCAATGAGTGGGCGGTTTAGAGAAGTCTGTCTGCCTTTGCTCATTTGTCACCTGTGGGTAGGTAAGCCCAGATGAAGTAATAACAGCCAAATCCATAGAGCTTGCCATAGAGCAGGTGATTAGAAATTAAATGAATTGAGTTTCATGCTTTATTCTTCTTTTAGACAAATTGCAGATTAAATTTTATATTTGTAAGGCGGCCCCAGGTTAGCTGCAGCTTGTTACGTGTTATGGCTTGTGTTTGTGAACTGCTTTAGAAGCACGGAAGTCTGCTTTGTTAATTTAACTGCGAGGAGGTGGGAGGACTTTGAGGTGAAGCGCTGGATTGCGATAGCAGCATTGGAGGCAGAACTGCACGTTTGTTTTTGTCATTGCTTACTCAAGTTCATTGTCAAGCGGAAGGCTGAAATTCAAACCGTTTATCTGCATTATAATTTTAAGAAACTGGAATGTGCTTTAGGAGCATAAGCAAATAGGAAATACTTTTTTTTTCTCCCCCTTCAGATTGAGATCAGCCGGAGAGTGACTTTGGAAGAACTTCCACCTGTGTTGGTCCTGCATCTCAAAAGATTTGTTTATGAGAAAACGGGAGGGTGCCAGAAGCTGGTGAAGAACATTGAGTACCCCGTAGACCTGGAAATCAGTAAAGGTATTCGATTGACATATCCTTTACCTTTCAGCTTATTGTGGAACCTCCTTGTTCTACAAGCTTAATTCGTTTCTCGAAAACTGCTAGTTAGGTGAAAACTCGTGTAACAGAAATAAAATGCTCGTTAGTTCAGTTATAATCTAATTGGTGGCAGAACTCTAAAATGTTTCCTTAGACATCCAAATTTGTCCTTAATATAGTACAGACTGGTACCTAACATCGTTTAATGGTTTAACATGGTTTAATCGTTAAACGTGGTTAGTTATTGACGTATCATGCTTAAAAGCATTAGCTGATGCTTGAACAATAGGAAAACACTCTGGTTCATTTATGGTACAGTAGTTATGTTATCGTCATGAGCAAATATGTACACATTAGGTGTTATCCTTTGCTATATGCACTTAACACACACAAGGCTTTATTTTAAAAAACTACAATGGAATAAAATAAATTCCTTTTCTGGAAGAATGCTAGAAAATAAGGCCAGCTTGTAATAGTGAAAGTCTTGTTAAATTAATAAACAGGAATTACTATGGTGTATAAACAAATTCGGATAGCAGTTGCTCATATAGTAAGAGGTTAATGTACAGTAAAAGTAACTGAGATGATTGGTGATGAAGCCTGTTATAAAGACATTCTTGACAATTAACTGACAAAATAATGTGCCTCCCCCCCATGTCCAGTCAGTCAAGTCCAAGATTAAACCACTAAACTGTATGTGGTGTATCATCAGCTTCCATCAGATTCTTGCACATAAGTGACCATTATCACAGCCAGTAAGCCAAAATTGATTGATGTGGCTTAGGACACCCTTTTCTCTGCAGAGGAAACATTATTCAAAATCTTTAGCTATTAATAGCATGTCTCTACAAAATGATGTGTAATTCAGTGTGTGTACAAAAGTACATTTTAATCTTGTTTTTGCCCATGTTTACAGTATAAGTCTGTTTACAGCTGACAGATTGTGAACACTATTGCTTGGAAATATTTATATGGTGTTAGTCCCTTTGTAGTTTCTCTTGCCTTTTGGGTCACTCTGCCAGAATGCAGAATATGCTGCTATGCTCGTTGTGTTCAATGTCTTTGAATATGTAACTTTGAATAGCAAGCACTAACCCTAATAGTTCAAATAAGGAGCTGCGTCAGCATGCTTAGGCTGCAAAGGAACAAGTAAAGGTTTATTCCATGCTGAAAAGAGAAGAAAAGAAACCGTTTCGGCTGTCAGACACCTGAAGAAAAATTCCCTCAGCTGAAACGTTTCTTCTCTCTTCAGCATGGTATAAACCTTTACTTGTTCCTACTAACCCTAATATTTTGTCCCAGGATTTAAGGGTTGTTAAGCATTTTCCCAGGCTATTGATATTTCAATTTTCAGGTTTTGGCATTTCTTGTTTTGAAATATGAGCTTTCAGAAAAAACATCAGAACATCAGCATTGTTTGCTTCTTGTTTTGATAAAGTGGCCAGGGTTCCACGAATAGTGGTACTTAGCCAGATGTGGTCAGCTAGTGGCGTGATATGACCTATGCTCAAACACAACCTGTCCCTAGGTAATTCTCCAGGTATCTGTTTCTTGTACAGCAAACTGTTCCTGCTTATGCTACTGTGCTAAATAATTTCAAGCATGATAGGCTTGTTTATTTGAAAATTGAACGTCTCCCTGGCCACTTTTCCCTGTAATTTCACGCTGCCTTGAGAACCTCAGCACTAATTGTAATGCCACATTTGTATCTTTTTTGCATTTTGTCTTGATTGCGTTTTTGCCTGTGCAAGGTTCTGACCCTGATAGGTCCAGACTTCCTTTGAAGATTTCATACCTTTAGTAGGTTTCTAGAATTTAAGTTTTACGTCTGTTATCTTTTCAGACCTCCTTTCACCAGGGGTACGCGGCAAAATTTTCAAAGGCCAAAGAACATACAGGCTCTTTGCAGGTACAGTATGTTTTTATGTGTCTAAACAATTCTTAGACCAAAGCTTCCCGTCCTGAAAAAAATGCTTGAACATTGTTTTTGTTCTGGTACTTAAATGTTTCACATTTTGAGCTTAATCAGCCTTCCCAGCTAAACATAACAGGTCGGTATGAAGAGCTGCCACCATAAAATGGAGCAGTCCTACTATCAGACTTTATAGAATGCTAGTCAAATGCTCGGTGCTAGTTTTTTCACATATCTGTTGCAACTACTAGAAGTCCAATGTGAATTTTTGGTTTTCCCACTTTGTACAGTGTGGTTCCTTTTGTAGAAAAGAATGGGTGTTACCCATCTTTGTTCAGTTATTTCACCCTTTAAGAATACGAAATAATTTTTAGTGCTGCAGGACTTTCAAATATTTCTTCCAGTTCAGCAAATTAGGTTTTATCTGATGTTTCTGAATCTTGGAAGACGTTGTTCAATACTTTAAGGAAATACTTTGGAGTTGTGTTTGTCACAATTATAAATATTTCACTCCATAAACATGGAGATTCATGTTTGAAGTTTGGAAGGCTAACTCGAGTTGCCAAAAACTAGTTTCATCCAGATTACACAACCTTGATTCAATGTAAATGCTTTTCTAGCTAATGACATGGTTGCACATACTAGAGTGCAGATTAAAAAATGGAGTTCAATGATCAAAGAAACCAAGAAATTAAGACTGTTGGGTGATTGCGTGTGATTGTAATCCAGTATGAAACTGCATATGTACTTTCTGGCTGATGCGCAGTTTTTCTAATTGATATTGTAATACTCAAGCTGCATAGGCAGGAAGAGGGCAGAGACATTAGACTTGATGGCCATGAATTTAAATGAACTAAAAGAGGTGTAGGGGAAGATAAAAGCTGAAAAGGTGGTTGCAATCCCTCTTTTTCTTTTAGTTTTGTAATACCTCCGCAGTTTAGGAGGGAGGTGTGTATGGGCTGAAAAAGTTTAAGGATACATTAGCATTGCTTTTCTGAAAAACTGTTCTCGCATGTAGTCTCAACTCAAAAATTACGAAATACTAGTTACTGTCACTTATGTAATAGTTATGACCTTTACTCTAGATAATTTGGCAATTTTGCTGTCTTGAATTGTGTAGTTTTTAAATGTTTGGTTAAAATAAACTAATATATTAACTTTTTAATATGCACACACCTTTTCCTATCTTCCTTTTATCTGCATATTTGAACTTATTTAGCTTGTAATTTTCTTCATTAGAACCAACTCCCTTCATCTCTTTCGTGCCTGACTTAATACACTTTTCAATACACCACATCTGAATTTTCTTCGTCCAGCTATCTTGAGGACTGAATTATCTTGGTTCCTTTTTGAACAAAAGTCTCTTTTGGGAATATTGACGGTATGGTATCCATTGGAAACTGTAACAATCCAATACATTTTTCCAAGAGCTTCAGCCAACAGCAAATTTTATTTAGCCCTTGATTGGTCTTGGAACTTTTATTCACTATGGGGAAAGTATTACAATCAGCATTTAGTTTAAGAATCTAGTGCTTATAACAATTAGTATTTTTGAAAGCCTTTTTTAATACTACGTGTCACACACTGTACTTAGTTCTCAACACTGTTACCTTAATTGCTCCACATTTTGCTCCTGTGTTTATAGTTATAGAAAAGTCTTATCTAAGCCTAACCACATCATTCTTTCCAAACTACAAATCTAATTGGAGTGGGGTTTGTTTTGGTGGAAACAAAGAGAGTCTCCTGTTCATCTCAGAGAGATGCCATCTCTAATTACTTTGTTCTGGTAAAGAAATCTAGGATGTTCGAAGCAATTCAGAACATATGTCGGTGCTACATTTGTCCTTTAGTAAGCGATTAACCACTTCACTTTTTTGTGCAGATTTGCACTGGTTTCCTTTTCTCAGAATTGCACATTTTTAATGGGTGACAGTAACATGCAGATTTGTCATTTATGCTTTTGGAATACTTGGTGTTGCTTGTACTTTTGTAAGTCATTAGTTATTACCTATCTAGTAGCAAATAATTGGTGAGTAATTCTCTCCCAGTGTTAGAGTGAGGTGGGGATGTGGAAGTATTCATTCATTTATAGACTTACAGAGCTACGTAGTCACATGAAAATAAGCTTATTGATACCCTTGTGCTAGACTACTTGCTGCATTGAGGTGAAAAGATTTCTAGTAGGTTTGAAGTAAAAGACTTAATATTGAAGATTTGTTGACGACAGGACCTCCTGTCCCAGTGTCAGCAGTATGTACTATTGAACTCAACTGTGGCTGTTCAGTGTGTTTAATAGCTCTGCTGTAATGAGCACACATTACTGCTGTACGTGGCAAGAATGCCTTGTCTGCTTTAGCGCACAGGACCAAAACTAAGCTTATTTTAATGTTACTCAGTGGCATTTTTTTTTTTGAGCAGCAGAAAAGGATCCCTTTTCAGACACTGAAAGCGTAATATACGTTTTTCTTGTGCTTTAGCAAACGCACATTGAGGTAAATTTGTTTTAAAGCTGTATTTTGTATACCTCCAGGGATATTAACACAGAAAAATAAAACATTCCAGGTTCGATGTGAAATCCGCTCCATTAGATAGCTTGGAAGTAATCTGTAGTATAGCCTTTTCATAATTACACTGGGTTGAACTTCATCAGAGTGAATGGTTATCAACCAATAAAGTTCCAATGTGCCTTTTGCTTGAGTTATCTTTGTCTTCCTTGCAGTTGTTTATCACCATGGGAACAGTGCTACCGGCGGCCACTACACCACGGACGTCTTCCATATTGGTCTTAATGGCTGGCTGCGCATTGATGACCAGGCAGTGAAAGTGATCAACCAGTTCTTCGTGACGAAGCCGACTGCGGAGCGCACGGCCTACCTGCTGTACTACCGCCGCGTTGACCTGCTGTAGAGATCACACGCCAGCTTCTCAAGAACACTGCCCGACTTCTCTTGCTCCCCCCTGCCCTTCCTTTGCTTTTCCCCGAGAGCCGGCTTTTCCAACGTCTCCTTTATTTTTCTTTTTTTTGGGGGGGAAAAAAAAACAGGCTGAAATACATTGCAGAGACGGCTTAGTTTTGTCTGTTCAGCGGTGGGTTTTAAATGCGGGAAGAACAGAAACCATCGGATAGGGGATTGATGGACGCCAAGGACGTGAGATCTATCCTTTTATCCCTAGCCTCATGAACTCTGGGAACATCGTGTTCACAAGAAATGTCAACATTAACAGTTGAGGCTACAGTTGTGGGACTGGTGAAAGTTTTATTTTTTTATTTTTTAAGCAGAAAGGCAAATTTTGCCTTTTAGCAAGGGGAGTTGACAGTTAAATCAGTTTTGCAGCCTCCGCCTGTTCAGTTTGCCTAGTGCAAAAGAACCTTGCACCAGCAACAACATTGTATAGATCTTAACGTATGAATATCTGAGAGCTTTGTTTCCTAACTCCAGAGAAGTTGCTTCTTTTTGTCACCATCACTTTCTCCTTTCCTCACCTTCTCCTCTTTAAGCTTTTTAATCTAGGTAACATTTGAGCCATTGATAGAGGAGACAGACGTTACCATGTGCTGAAAAAATGCTTCTTTGTTTGAGGGAACCCTGCTGTGCGGTTTCTGGGTATAGAGTTAGAATAAGAATCTAAACATTAAAAATGCGCTTTAGGGTTAAAGGCTTATGTGCACGTAAATAAAGATAAATGTGGATGTGCCGAAGCACATTATTTTGCAGTTAACAATGTTAAAACAGTTAAAAGCTGGGTGATGGTCACTTTATCCCACTCCCTGGGGAGCTCTGATAATACTGTGTACACAAGCTGGAGAAAAACCAATGAAGATTGAAATATTCCATTACATTGTCTGGCTTTGTTGACTTTTTTTTCTCCCTCCTCCTCCTCTTTATCCCTCAACATTCTAAAGATTTACCTGCACACACAGGTCCCCGGTATTGACCTCTGTGTGCAGGTAAATTTCCAGACTTCTCACCCAACTCATGAAAAGGTCATAGAAAGGATGTAAAGGTTTTCTGTTTGGTGTGGAGGTGTACACCTGGTGAAGGCTGACTTACCATTCAATTGGGGATCTGCAGGGTGAGGAAGAAGTCACTGTCGGCCACACCAGTACGCTTGACGTTTGATTGGCATCAATAACATGAGGCGTGCTTCTGGCTGAGACAGAGACAGTTGGACTTTGGGAACACGTATGCAGCAGTGCAATGTCGACTGCATGGCTGTGCTCTTAAAACTTTCCATGGTGTCAAAAGAGCTCTGAAAATCTGTTTCCTTGTGTTCCTGAGACCTTCCTTATTCATTGATTGTGTTGATTTGAATTTAAGTCGATTTTAAATGGTTCATGATGTCCAGTGAGTTTTGCCCAATTGTATAAGTTTGTGTTTACCAATATTTTTTCACCTTTTACTTCAGATTTGGTATAATTTAGATTTTACCCAAGGTAAGCACAACAATGAATAAAATTGTACAAGTATATTGATGTTGATCATATTTAATCTTTTCAACACCTCACACCTTTCTTAATACCAAAATAGTGTTTACATGCTTTTGTTTTCTGCCATAATTGTGCTTGGGCTAAGTCTATGCTGGATTGTTGTAACAAATCACAATTTAACTGATCAACTTAAAATATTCGGAATACATGTCAGTATGTCCCTTTGCTGATTATATATTCTTAAATACGGTAATGTTGCTTTGTGGTCAATATTGTTAAGTATTTCAGGGTGTTCATGCATGTCACTAGCAATCAACAATGACGTTGGTCACAAGATCACCTACTGGGCAAATAAAGCGAGGCACATGAACTTCTGGCAACAGGTCCTTTGTGAGTAATGATCTGCATCATTTCAACGCTACTGTTTTTCTTGCAAGAAAGGTTTGAGGAGGTCACTTAGCCAGTGTTTCTTGGTTGGTAGTTTACGAAGTTAAAATCATTTTTAAATTATCCCAAAATTGAGGCCTCGGCAGCTTTTCCGGATGCCTACAGCTCTGTGCAAAGAAGTGTTTCCTATTCTGGTTGCTCTTCTTTTAACTCTTGAGGATGCATCTTTTCTGTTATATGGTGATCAAAATTGAAAACATTCTAAGTGAAATCTTACTAGTGCATCGTACATCTTAAGCATTACCTTATTGGTTTTAAATACCTCGCTTCTTGACATACCCAAGCATCATTTGCTCTTTGTTGCTTCCCCCAATTTTAATCTCATAGAAGAATCTACGTGTGAATGGGATCTGGGAGTTTTTCTGCAGCTGAGAATCTTCCCTTCAATATTTATGGCAAATTGCTCCTACTAGTGTGGATCATGTTGCACTTATCCGTGTTGATTTCATGCCAAGTTCATGACTCTTGGTGTACTTTTTGATTCCCTTGACTCATTTTGTTTGCTACTCTCCATTTTTGTCATAATAAAGTTAACTGGTTTGCTAACTTTATGTTCAGAATATAAAACCGTGTAGATCAGAAAGAGCAAAGGGCCTTAAACGGATACCTATGGCACACCACTTCTTACATCTACACAAACGTGGGGTCTGACCCTGAAGATGAAATGTTTTGTGTTTAATCGGTTTTCCGTGCATTTGCATTTTACCTTGGGCTTTTTTCCTTTAACAATGCGATAATCAGTCTTTAATGAGGGACCTTATCAGAACATTTTTAGAATTCTAAATAGTGTCACAAACAGAGCTATCTCCTGTGTTTCTTGTTAGAAGAATTCTAGTAAGTTAACTGAAGATGACCTTTTTTTGCATTAAAACTCAGTTTTAATTGTTTTTCCAAAGTTAGGCTCACAGATGGAAACCCTGCAAACGTAAGAGAATTAGAAGTGTAGAGACAAGCACTCCACTGACCCACCCCTTTTAAGCATTTTGTGAACACATGCTAAAAAAAAATTAGTAGTTCAGGTGGGTAGCTGCGTCAGCATGCGTAGGCTGCAAAGGAACAAGTAATAGGTTTATTCCATGCTGAAAAAAAGAAGAAAGAGAACACAACGTTTCGGCCGTGGAGCCTTCTTCAGGTGTGGAAACACCTGCCACCAGCCTGGTTTAAACAGGGGGACTTTCAACAGGCTGGCACTCGTGCAGGTCTTTTCATTCAGCACTACAGTCGAACGGAAGACCGAGCTTAAAAGAGGGGTGCAGAAACTTATTTTAAATAATTTCTTCACCTTTTCTGTCACTACTAATCTGTTTAGGGTAAATTTAACCGGGCCTATTTGCACACCTGAAGAAGGCTCCACGGCCGAAACGTTGTGTTCTCTTTCTTCTTTTTTTCAGCATGGAATAAACCTATTACTTGTTCCTAAAAAAAAATGACAATCTTACAAGCTTGCTAGATTCTGGCCAAGATGCATTAGAGTTTGCTGTGTCATAGAGAGATGAAAGTCCTGCCTGACTATTCCCACCCTACCTTTTACAGGTCTCGGCCAGTAGTATGCCACAGCCTGAGAATTCCCATTCCCAGTTCCATTTTTTTTTAATGATGTAACCCAGCCTTACACCTGCGATCACAGAGCTGAACCTTGGGATGTGACAGGACCTTCTCTTTCTAAATCCACCTAGACCATCTCCTAAAATGCCTTTGTTTTCTTAGTGTTATATTTAGCTCTTATTTCCAAAACCTGACCTGTGACACGAGTAAATCTGGTCCAGAGTATACCTGCCTTATTTGGTGCATTGTTCATTTCTGTGTTATTAATGCAACTCTCCAGACTGTGAGTACTGCTTCAGCAATATCTAAGGGGAGATATCAGGACCTGGTGATTTATTAGTTTTTAGCTGCCCTAGACCCTGTAAAACTTCGTCAGCTATGCCAAGTTTACCCAATCCTAAGAGTTTCTGTAACTTGCCCTGTTATTGGCAATGCCTATTAAAACTTGTGAAATATTTTTCAGAATGTTATTTTTGTCACTGTCTTAATCCCATTATCTCAGACTTTATTACTATTGTAGTTCTAAAGTAAATGCTTTGAATTTCTTCTTTAACTCAACACTTTTCCCTCTCCCTTTTAGAATTTGTTTTTTTCCTACTGTGCCTGAAGTCTGTTATACTCTTTCTGACTTTGAATATTGGTCTCTTCTGCACAATGTAAAGAATTCTCCTTCAGTTTTACTTAGTATCTCCATTAAAACATTCAGGTCATGGTTTCTTCAAGATGAACTTAATTGCTTAGGAATATCTGTTCTGAGCCTTTTTTACTCTAATTGCTGATTCACATTTTAGAGATTGAAAATATACATTAAAATTTACCATATAATGGTCATGATTTTCCAGTGGTTCTGTTATATCTGTTCTCTAAATTAAGTCCTAGTTGGTTAGAACAGATTAGGTCAATAAGAGTCTGTCGTCATTGGTGCTTACAGAATCGCAGCTGTTAACTATTTTATCTGTCAATGGTTACTTACCAGGATATTGTTGTACTACTCGGATTTGAAATTGGCCCAGTTAAATTTACGCACTTGTAAAAAAAAAAGTCCCTAAACAGATTAGTCGTGACAGAAAAGGTGAAGAAATTATTTAAAATAAGTTTCCGCGCCCCTCTTTTAAGCTCGGTCTTCCGTTCGACTGTAGTGCTGAATGAAAAGACCTGCACCAGTGCCAGCCTGTTGAAACTCCCCCTGTTTAAACCAGGCTGGTGGCAGGTGCTTCGTTCTGTTTGGGAGCTTGAAATGCTGCAGTGAAGTAGCTGAAAATCAAGGCATAAATCGGACAAAAGTCTAATTGTCTGTGTTGTGCATCTCAAATAATGTTAGTCCAGTTATCATGTAGTGAACGCTTTTCTAAAGAATGTTTTTTTGTAATATGGTAGCAAACTAAGTTTTTTTCTTAACCTAAGGAGGCTTTTAGTTCTTGTGTACAGTGCTGCGCCGAGAAAGAAGACAGGTGTTTGTGTTATGTTCTAGCAAATATTGATATTTTTAGCCCTGAAACACTTTGTAATGCCCACAAGTAAATTTAGTCATATAAACTAATACTGGATTAAAGTTAAACACCGTTCTCTTAATTTAAATTGTGTATTTTTTCTAAATGTTGTAAAAGGTAACAGAATCCAAGGATGTTTATGCACAATTAGCTATGTTTTGTAACATTGACAGCTTATTTTTAGAAAAACATGCAGTGCAATCTTGAAGGCTTCATACTGTACACTCTGCTCTAGTTCCAGTTGATATGTTTAAATACAGTGATGCAAAACAAAATCAGTGTTATAGGTTTTCTTCCACTTGTAGATCCTGTATTACATTTTTTGCTTTCCTCCTTTTTAAGCCACCATCCATACCTGCTAATTTCTGATTGAATGTTATGGAACCTCTCTGTTTAAATGAGAGAACTGTAAGATTTTTTTCATGTATGAGCACTAAAATTAAAGGTAGGTATTTGACCATAGCATTGTCTTTCTGGGAAAAGAAGAAATGTATAGTTTGCATTTTCTGAAAGTATTTAAATTGTAAGTCTTAGTGCATTAAAGGTGAAGATTTGGGTTTCCTTAACATTTTGAATTTCTAAACAGATTAAAAAAGGCAGATTATTTATTCTGGTGTTTATGTATTCTAAACAATTCTCTACCCTTATGATTTTCTTTCCCCACATGGAACTTCCACCTAATTTCCCATCTAAAAGCATTGTAGCCATGTGTGCTTAAAAATGGCACTGATCTCCTGAGTGCTTTTCAGGTTTCTCCTCATGTGCTCACTATTGTACCAGATTCCCTGTTGACCATCTCGCAAAAATCAAGAGAATAAAAGCCTAACGGTCTTGAACACAATGCCTTTTTTCTTTGAAGAGATCTATGTGGAATCTTACCATGAAAATGTTTCAGAATGTTTTTGCATGTCATTAGCATGTATCTTTTGAAAATCCCTCAAATGATTACGTATTACGTGCAAAAGATTTTCAGTTTCTGCCTTTTGTCTTATTTTCATGCTTATCTATAGCATTGTTGCCAAATTGCATTGTGTTAGAAGTGTGTTCTGTAACCTTAACTGAGTCAACTGTTTCTGCACTGTCACAGGCTGCATTATAATAGAGTAGCAGTGTGTTTTGTTTTGGTGGCAAAGGAACATCTGAATTTAGTTTGAAAGAGCAAATGTTTAGGGCTTGATCAAAATTCATGGCACCAACAATCTTTCATGTTTCAAATGCAAATTCCCTTTTACTGATCTGATATTGACACTGAATTAATGGCATTCACTCTTAATTTGTCTGTCGTGCTCCTTAAGAGTCTCAGGTCCTTGAAATCGGGGTAGAGATTTCCACAGTACTGTGCATACTGTTTTTTTTGCCAACTGGGTAATTTGGAGAATCTCTTAAGCAATATTTTCTTTTACTAAAATTAACAGCTGATTAATAGAACCTAACCGGAACTGGGGTGAGATTTGAACTTTTTTTAATTCTTGGGTTCCTGGTTTTCTGCAGCACACCATTTTATCACTTTTTTCTGGCCACTTATGGTTGAAAAAACAACCATAATGTTTTGAATTTAGTCAATGGACAGCTTAATTTAGGGTTTCAGTAATGTGCACGTAGAGTTCTCTTACTTGGCTTTTCAGGGTATAATTTGGTGAGTAGCTTTGTATGGTTTTGTCTTCGTTCCCAACCATACAATTAAATGTAAGTATTTTTCATGTTGAGTGTTGTGCTACAATTTGATTTTTGTAACGGCATTCTGCCTGCAACTTAATTATAGTCTACAGCAACTCCACTAGACCACCTAAATTCAAAACCCTTCTTGGGTATTTGTCAGCTTTGTTGAGAAGGTGATAAAACAAGAGTGTTTATTGCCCACTCTTTAGGTTGTGAATTATGTTATAGA